ATTAGTAATATTATAACTAGAATCGATTTTGGTTTTCTTCGTTTTATTTTAAATGATAAATAGATAAAAATATAATAATATTCGCTGGCGAAATACTCGCGAAAGAAAAATGATATAAAGTTAGATAAGTTGGCTGATCGAAGCGAATTCACCAGGTCTCCAATCCACGATGGTGTCCCAGGGGGCTGTGTGGAAGTCGACCTGACAGAATACATATAAATTTCTCTAGCCATTGATTCTGTAATTACATATCTTAGTCCGCCTATCAGACCATCTACGTGTATTGAAGTTTAATAAAAAAAAATATATTTGAATCATTACTAATGGTCAACCAGTGGTCGAAAATATATAATCATAATAAATGAATTTATTACGGTTATGTTTGACAATTAGTACAACTATAGACAAATAATATTAAAGACAAAGACAAACAATATTAATCTCTAAGAACAAGGAATTAAGTGGAAGGAATGATAAAATAAAAACTGTCAATCATATGATTGTTTCCTTTGTTCTCATGCAAATAAAATTAGTAAAAAGAAGACGAAAGATACACCGTCAGTTGCTTTTTTTCTCAATTCATAGCAGGCTAGTATATAGAAAATGTTTGATATGTCAATTATTTGTCAATGACAAATTTTACATTACTAGATTATATATTCGACACAGTTTATGTAGAAAGTATGCAAACAGGTTGCATTTGAATTTGGTAGGGTTATACAGCCATAAATCACTTTCTGTGCACTAGCCTGCTATGAATTGTCAATTTTATAATTTTTCTATGTAATTTCTTGTTCTTAGATCTATTCACATTTTGGCCACAGACTTTAACAATAAACAAAAGAGTATATATGCGTGTGTGTCAAATATATTATTTAGTGCAGTTTACTAGGCTTATTAATAGTATGGATAGTTAGGTCCTTTCTAATTGTATAACTGTTACTTAGTATACATTGACGCTTATCTGTGAGAGCTGTATACACCTTTAATTGATGTGTTCATATGCCCTTAAGCTTGGTAGTGAGAAGTGAGATGTTTTCGTTCAAGTAAACTTAGATTTAAGCATTTTTAATAGTAGTTTTTCACTTTTACTTACTTATAACATTGTACATTGTCTGCTTAATTGTTATGAGCATATTGTTGGTGTGTCTTTTATAAATAAATAATTAAATATATGGTAGTTTGTATATTTTTTTATTGATATAATGTATTTTTATGCATAACTTTAAAAACATATTAGCATTTTACACTCCATCTCTATATAAATTCTATACGAAATTTCATACTCCTCCGTCCGAGCAATTTTCGTAAAAAGGGGTACAAAGTTTTTGCTTCATGTATTAATATAATTATATATGTGGATAAACACGCCATGGCAACCGCATAAACTGCTTTATAAGTAACAATGTTTGAAATTAATTGACATGTTATTTCAACGAATTCATATATGTAAATAATAAACCAATTCCAAACTAATCGTACTCACTAATACACAAACGTCAATTGTACTCGAACCAAATGAAATTGGATTTCAAATACACTTGAAGTATCTATAAATATATTCAAATAAAATGCCTACTTATTATGAATTTAATAAGTACTTACTTATACTTATTTGGATATTTTTATAAGTACATCTTGACTGCTTTATATTCGACTAGTCTTTGCACGTGACTTCGTCTACGTGACCAGGATATTTTTTTTATGCAACTTAGAATGGCATACAAGCTGACGGCCCACCTGATGGAAAGTGGTAACCGTTGCCTATAGACATGAGCAGTACCATGGACATAACAGAGTATACTAATTGAATGGAATAAAAAGTTACTTATGCCCTCCTTCATCATCAATCAATACATATAATAAAATTGTAACTGGTTGATGTCTGTATACGGAAGATATATAAGAAAAACTATTGTATATTGTTTTATGAATGCAATAGAACCCCAAACAATGATTTTTAGAATTTATGTCTGTTTGTCTGTACATTTGTGCGCGCTAATCTCAAGCCTATGTCCTTCCTCACGGTTCAGTGGTTTTGATGTAACAGACACATTTCCCTTCACTGCTCTGCTCCTATTGATCGTAGCGTGATGAAAAGTATACTATAACGTGCCCAGGAGTATGTAGAATAATTGTACCAAGTTTCATTAAAACCCGTCGAGTAGTTTTTGTTTCAATAACGAACATACAGACAGACAGACAAAAATTTTACTGATTGCATTTTTGGTATTAGTTTCGATCACTAATCACCCCCTGATAGTTATTTTGGAAATATATTTCATGTACAGAATTGACCTCTCTACAGATTTATTATAACTATAGAAGAAGATATTATGATATATATTTGTTTATTATTTCTTATAATTATGCTACTCAACCGATTTAAAAAAAATTCACCAATAGAAAACTATATTATCAGCGAATAACATTGATTCTTAGATTATATAAAAAGAGAATGTAGTCTCAAAAACTTGTCAACTTTTTGTCAGCTAATTGTCAAATTAGCTGACTTGTTTTTTTATCAATGTCAATATTGTTTTTTTTTTCAATTGTTAATTTTTAATACCTACGCACATAGTGAATCTTGACGTATGTATCTATATTTAATGATTTAATAAATAAGTTATTACGCTTTAAAAAGGTAAAAAAATTATAAAACAAAATAAATATAGAAGTTATAAAAGACTTATAACTATTTATCACGCAAAATTGTATGAAAAAGTTGTCCCCGTTTTCTCGAAGTATTTGTATGGAGATATTCTATCTATATAATCTAAACATAGATTATATATTAAATCCGATAATTCTATCTACCCATGCGAAGCCGGGCGGTTTCGCTAGTAATTTATAATAAAGCAAAATTAAATATTTACTTAAAATCATAAACAATCGAAAATGGTCAAGAGTGACAACAAAATTAATAGTCAAAGTTATATTATAAATTAAATACTTGATAGGCAACAAAACAGAAACTTTTGGGTTAGGTCAAGGTTTAATAAAACGCAGTATTGAAAAAAGGGTCACCCAAAACAGTCCTTTCAAGTTTCGGGTAGAGTTTCCGAAAGGCCACATTGAAACACTGCTTGATTAAAGAACAAAAAAGTAATACAATGTTTTATTTTTAAATATGGAATCGAATTGCCTTTACTTTCTTTTTTAAGTAGGATTTAGTAGCATTAGTACAATGTTGCCATGTGGTCCCGGTATAAATTAGCCCACCTTTTTCATTCCCGTGACTGTCGTAAGACGTGACTATACAAACTTAATTGTTGATGGATGGTCAGATAGAATTACTTTTCCTTTCCTTATTAGGTAGAAGCACTAGTATAATATTGCCGTGTGGTCCCGGCACAAAATATATGTATAATGGGCCACCTTTACCTTTCTCGTAGTTATTATAAGAGGCGACTATGCAAACTTAATCTTCGAGGGATTGTTAGCAATGACCTTCTTAAAACATCACCTAAGCAATAATGGTATACTTTAATGTAATGGTAACTTACATACATTTAGATACACTTATATATATATATATATATATATATATATATATATATATATATATATATATATATATATATATATATATATATATAGTATATAAGTTATTATCATATGTTTTATTAACATATGATTATTTGTATCATATGTTTTATTAACACAAGTGTTTATTTTTATATTCGTGTTCTACCTATTCCAGTATACCTATTGTATCTATGAAGTACCTATTCTAAGATTTGCCCCTCGTTGTAATAGAAACAATAATAAGGGGTAAGTTATAGTGTTAATTTAATATTAATTAAATAATACAATGGGTTCCGTATAATTATTCACAGTGTGCTCATATTGATTGCTGCAAGTGTAATTGTATATCTGTTCATTATTTTCAGTCAAAGGAAAGATCGATTACAAGAAATATTGTTTCCTGATAAATGTACAAAATTTAATATAGCCCTCTTTGGCTTATATTAAATTTTGTTCATTTATGTCAAACAGAAGAATGAGAAGTACGGCTTACTTAATATATAATTATTATGTGACCAACATGGGAAAAACGCTTTTTTTTTTATGGGTGAAAATGGTATAGTAACCCTGCCTGCGCTAACGGGATAGGCTGGTGGAGCACCAGTGAAGGGTGATAGATGAGAATGAAAACAGGCCAGTTAGCCCATCATAATGAATTCATCAGGAATTAACCATGATAGTTTCCAGGGGGTACCGCGAGGAGGTCGACCTGGTTGGGTATATTGCTAGCAATGGGATTCTCAGTCTCCATTACTAACAATCCCTTTCTCCCCAACCTGACGGTGTTATGAAGGAACAAACCTTTGTAACAAACATAAAAAAAATATACAACCATATTAAGAATTCTTTTTGAAGCCGATTAAAAATGAGGTTATATTCTGTAAAGTCTTTATCTACGTAACGAGATATCAGACTTTTTGTTCCTTTTAGTCCTATGATTTCAGGGTAATCATAATAAAATCTATAACAGAGAGTTCCGCCCTAAATTAGGTATAATGTAACCCAATATTGTAATGTGTACCTTCCGTCGCGTCATATCGACCATCGGCAATGTATATTTTCATTAGCTTCTCTCTTTTAATTGGGTTTAGTTGACTTTAGCATGATGTAAATTATGTTTACCAACATGTGAGGCCTAATAAAAATATCTTTATATCTATGTGAGAACATATGAACCTACCAGTCAAATTATACTATATAGGTTACATTCATTCTAATTTAAGAACTGCGCTCTTATCGGAAGAACTCTTGCCACTCACTACGATTTTCAGCGTTGGTTATTAATTTGGTATATCAATATTTTTTCACGTAATTTTTTTCGTTTATAAAAAGGGTTAAAAATCGATAAATACTTACGATAAATAATTTCATATTTATAGGATATCTGGCAGCCTATTAGGAATTAGAAAAATAATCATACCAATAGATAAGAGTAGTATTTATTTACTTGGATTTCAATAAAATAACAAAGATTTATTTATTCAGTTTATTTAGACAGATACACTTAATTTTTTTTTATTTCGATAGTTTTACTGAAATAGAAGGCGAGCAGCGGGTTAAGCGGCGGCTCCTTGTTGAGGAAGTCGCAGAACCGGTTCATCTGCGTGACGTCGAGCGAGAACCAGTCGCTGAGCATAGACAGGTGGCTGGTGAGCACCTAGCACGCGATGCTCGTGTACCGATACTGCGCCGTCAGCTCCACGCTGTCCGGCGGCTCCTCCGTGATCAGCGTTATCAGTTCCGCCAGGATCTCTGGCTTTGTGATGAACAGCATCAAATTCCTGTTGTCGGCTTTACATTCTTGCAGGATATCATCCGCCTCTAGCACCTGAGTCAATGTTGGATTCTTTTCTTTTTTTTTTTAATTTATTTCAGTTATATATTTTCTATATCATATTGCCTTAGATCCTTCAAGTGCAGCTTGAAAAAGCACTTAGTGAGCAAGTATAGTGTGGTTAACCATTGAAGCAAGAATTTCAATTTTAAGTTGTCGCGTTCACAGAGAAAATTATTCTTGTGCTGAACGCCGTATGGTCACATGCCAATTATAAACGTCTACTATAAAATAAAACTATTTACTTGTACAGTATTAAATTATCTTTGGTAGTACATACGAAATACTCCAACCTAATACAATCACCTCTAAATTAGCTCGAAATAAAATTAAGTGTTAGATTTTTATTTACCAGATGTGCGACATTTTTGCTTTTTTATTTAAATAGAAATCTGAATATAGTCTTTCTATAACATAATATGTAAATACAATTAAAATATAGTATCCTGTATTTTTTTTTTACCTAACCGACCCATTTTAGAGATTTTTTTTATGAATTTCAATGGAATGGAAACCTGCTTGCGTCTTTGGTTTAACATTAACAACGAAATGTTACTCGGTAAAAAAAAATTGCGATAAAGGGGCATTGTTCACCTCCACTTTTTTAGGTGTTAATTAATTTTTTTTTATTCATAAATCTTTTTTAATAGCTATGCTGGCTATGTTTTTATTATCTACTAAATTGTTTCCAAAGTTTTATAATGTCATCAGTCGTAAGAATTGCTATGCACTAATCAAACCTCACAGTAAGGTGCTTCCTAGCCAATATTGATACAGGCACGAATAGCTGCGCATTAATTTGCATTTTGTATTATTACGCCAATACTCTGAGGCACTAGTCACGTAGATAAATATTTAGTGTCCCAATCCTGAAGCTCAAATTAATTGGCACTCGACCGTAAAGTAAGTACCTACCGAATTCCATCTGTTTCAATACCCCTTTGATTGAGAATCCGCCTTTTCGTAATTAAAAGGAAATATTTTATCATCGGGAATCCTATGTTCAGCAATGGACGGATAATGGATGAAATGATGATGATTTTATTATCACAATCGGCTGCTTCGTCAACACTTATCGTGATAATTTAATCGAATACATAAACAGATCTGCACTATACTCACTTCGTGTAACTGTTTTAACAGGGGGGGGGGAAGGGATTGTTAGTAATGGAGACTAAAAATCCCATTGCTAGCAATATACCCAACTAGATCGACCTCCTCGCGGTTCCCCCTGGAAATCATCATGTTTAATTCTTGTCGATTTCATCGTGGTGTGCTAAGTGACCTGCATTCATTCTCACCTATCATCTTTCACTGGTGCCTCGTCGGTGTATACCGTGTTACCATTCCATTTTCACGCATTAAAAAAACTGTTTTTAACAAAATTTTTAATATCACGATAAAGGTCTCTAAAAAGACGCTACTTTTTAATTCACTCTATGGTCGTGAGACTAAAATGACACTTTATACAAAATTACCGTGTGATCCCGATATAGAATGGACCATCCCTTTCTTTCCCGTGGGTTTCGTATGAGGCGACTAAAGGAACGTAATGCCCTTCTTAAAACATCACCAAAACCTAACTGCGGTTGCCAACGATATGTAATATAAGAAGAGAGGAGATTATTAATAACGGACATTAATGATTCCATGATTAATTCTTGATGGTTTTCTGAGTGAGAATGGAATGGTAACCCCACCTGCTATATTAGTACGCTGGCGGGGCACCAGTGATAGACGATAGACGATAGGTGAGAATAAAAACAGGACAATTTAGCCCATCAAACTTAAAAAACAAGGGCGAGCACAAAAGACCATGGAAAGATCACTATGTCACAGGTTATTCTGCCTGAAAAAGCCGTCTTCCTATAATAATAATAATAGCCCATCAAGACTTTCGCAAGAAATAACCAAGCCGACTTCCAAGGGGAACTCCACAGAGGTATATTGAACTCCGACCATATAGGTATATTGCGTGGGGCTGTTTTTTTTTTTATGGGTGAAAATGACTTGATAACCCCGCCTGCGCTATCGGTATACACTGACGGGGCATCAGTGAGAGATGATAGGTGAGGATGAAAAAGCAGGTCAGTTAATCCATCGTGACGAATTCAACGATAAATAAGTCATGATACTTTCCAAGGGGAACAGCGTGGAGGTCGACCTGATACGGTATATTGATAGCAATGGGGACTAACCTCACCATTACTAACAATCCCTTCCCCCTTGCATGGGGCTGTTAGACCCTATCACTAACAATTTCTTTCCCTCCTCCTTTGCCACGACGAACCTATGACCCCACTTTGCTTACATATTATTACTCATTGGTAGGCCACTAGTGTAATATATACCAATGACACAGATAAGAGTACCATTCTATGTTCATCGCATAAAAAAAAATTGCAATAACAAGACTGGTCTGAAAAAATTAAAAAAAAAGTAAAATTATTAATTATTAGTCTTAATAAAGCACTCCATGAATACTGGGGATTTATCATGAAATGAAATTTAGAATTTTCAGACTCTATTTCGTATTTTTATTTATATACTTCATGAGTCATAAATGCTACTATTAAAATCCCAACGAACGATAGTTTAACATTTTTAATATTTTAAAATGCCATGTATGATGTAATTTTAACATTAAATTTGTGTTTTGTTTGGCTCCATATTTCGGAAAACATTTCATGATAGGCCCTCTGATCTAAGTATAAGGAGAAAATCGGCAGAAAGTGAAAAACACTTATAATGAACTCTGGCAAAATTTCAATTAAGACTTCAAATAAGAAATTGATGTAAAAAGTTTATATGATTGTTAGAAGCAGGTGGTCCCTTTGAATCGGTTTTATTGATTGACGTGGAAGGGGTTTTGTTATTAATAAATTGTTCTATCATTCTAAGGTATCGAACAGGTTTTTCATGTGTGAAATTGGAATGGTAACCAAGCCAGAGCTATCGGTATACCCTGGTAGGGCAAAAGCAGGTTAGTTAGCCCATCGTCACGACATACACAAGAAAAATTTTTTTTCTTTATAAGACCTCATAATAAATATGTAACTTAAAAAAAAAACACTTTCTTGTCTTTTTCTTTTTATCTTCTACATTTATAAAATCGTTTTGTGGTTTGTTTATTAACACGAACAAGGAAATAGTGATAAAGTCTTTCCACTTAAAAAATAATAATATATACATATTTCGGAATTTAGTGCTTGTTACATTTTGTTTGCCTTGTTACATTGTGCCTGTTAATTTTTTTTAATTTGTCTTGTAGTAATAAAAATATTACCCCGATGCGGGTTATATGAATACAAAAATATATAATATTTATTATTGTTCGTTAATATTTCTTGCTCTGTTAATAAGAAAAATATAATTAAACTATGCAAGCTAAACTTACGAAAAATAGTAATCATAATGATAGCTCAGTACAAGTAATAGTCACAGAGCAAATCTGTGCCTCTAGTGAGAAAGGTATAACTCAAGTTATAGCCTTTTTTTTTTTTAGGCTACTTTAAATAAGCAAATTTTTCTCTTTCGAATGGTATAAGAATCGTAACGATATCTTTAAAAACAATAGAGATAGTAAACATGTAAAAGGCTACAATTAACAAAATATTTGTGGTAAAAAAGTCATAATTAGAAATAAAGCTACAATATTTTACAAAAATAGTGCCAAAAATTACAATATACCTAGAACCACCCTTTAAATATGAATTTATTTTTGTGTAAAATGAATCAGTTCGATTTGAACCCTTTTACACCATTTAATAGCGATTATTTTTTTTATAGCGTAAAATACGCAACATTGTTTTTCTTCAATACTTCAATAAAATAGTTATAATTGAACTTAAAACTATTTTCAAATGATAATTTTAATATTTTTGTTAAGTGTGATTAGGTATAATAGAAATATTTTTAAAACTATAGGTTTTACACAAAAACCGACAATTTCATAAGAAAGAGGAGAAAAAATTACTATAAATGCAATCATTGACTTGTTCAATTAGCAAATAATAAAAGCAGCAGAATTTTTTTTTTCTTTATTTAAAATAGTTTTTTGGCTCTCCTGAAAAGTGGCAATTTTCAATTGCACCTTTTCTCACTAGAGGCACAGAAATAATCACTACGTTTTAGTAAAAGTAAAAAGTAGGAGCGTGTTCTTTATCGTTTTAAGCTTACATGTTACTATGTCTATGGTATTAAGTACTCGTAAACCTAAATATCTGTCTTAGATTATGTACATAGATAATTTCTATATAAAGGCTTCAAAAACAGCGGGTCAACTTTTTCATACCATTGTGTACGTGACAGTGTTACCAGATTAGAAATTATTGCTTTATATTAAGGTAAATAGATGATGGACTAAACTTAAAATATTAGGATTAAATAATCCTTTATAAGAGTTATCTTTTTTTTTATATATTTTATTATATTATTTATTTATTAAGAATAATACGTAGATAAAGAATAAGAATGCGGTAGATGGAGCTTCTTTCGTTCTTTCTTATTCTTTCACGTTGCTATAAAAATAGTAAAACTTTGAAGTGAAGAATGAAAATGGGTATTTGTATATAGTATGCATACATCTGCATGTATACTATAAATATGGAAGGATAATGTTACTTAAAGTAACGGTCATTTTAAATACAAATAAAAAATACGGAAAATATGAGTTAATTAATTTTAATTAAGTTGACTAAATGTAAAAAATATTTAATTGTATTTCATCTTAAAATTAATTTCTTAATGTTATTTTGTTAATTCCTATTCAAATAAATACTTTTATCACTTTAAGTAAAAATGGCGGCTATTTTAAATAATTCTGACATCGAATCCGTATTTGAAGTTTATACGAATATTTAAATATCGATTTTGAAAGCAATCAGTCAAATAACAAAGTCTGTACAATATCTACCGTATGCTATCTCTATGAACATAGATTAAATATTATATTCATATTATGTAAAAAAAATGCACAAAATACAAATAATAATTAAAAACAATTCACTTGTGGGGAATTTATTCGCATACTGGTAACACTAAAAATGGCGCAAATTCTTAAAAAAAAATGTTATTATTTATAATTATATTTATATTTATATTTAAAATAGAAGTTATTAACCGGTTATAAGTGATATTTTTATTAGCTCTATTTGACACTCATTTTAATTAAATATAGACACGTAAAAATTTGTTGAAGTGTAATTATATAGAACACTCATTAAAAAAACGAGTCAGTTAATTTAATAATTAGCCGACTTGTTTTTGAGGCTCGAAGCTCTATCTATATAATATAAAATACCTGTTAGATATTCAAATCAGTATTCGAATTATATTAATTCGGTCATTACTATGTTATAGACTGTGTTGCCCTTACTTAAATAATGATTTACTAAAGCTGAAATAGATAATTATAAGAAATTTAAAAATTCGGCATTAAATTTTTTTTCTATTTGTTCAATATATTTATTAGAACAATTTACAATTACGTATCATACCTAAAAACCTCGCAAGGTTTATTTAGGTATCATCGAGTCGCTGTTATTGATACATATAATATTAATGCAATACATGTAATTAAACTTTGGCATCATTATATGGTCAGTGGTTTAAACTTTATTTAATTATCATTTTATTTAAATCTCAATTTCTCATTGTGTTTAAATCGTGGTATCCCAAGACGGTAAAATAAAAAATATTTTAATTTATCGATGGAAAAATGGAACGACAGACGACATGACATCAATCAAAATTAAATAATCCAATATGGCGTAGTGCTTGGAAAGGGGCTGTTCGCGAATAACATCCCTCAAATTTCTGTTTTTGTGAATAGTTTCCTACGAGTTTAAATGCCTTACTATATAATGTAAGTCAACACACCTAATGAAGCCATTCTCGTAAGTAAACTATTACAACATACATACAATCATCACACATCTGATTTGAGAAAGTTACAGTGGCCCTGTGTTTAATGAATAATTACTACCTGTACGTTTAAATTGCAGGTATCCTGAAGATGCCAGTTAATTCTGTACCTGAAACGAAAAAGGGAATCGAAAAATCTAGATTTTCTCTATCATTAAACAGAAATAATGCTGTACTGACTAATGAGAACAGAAAACTAGGAGACAAGAATATTGACTCTTCTAAGCTCTCTACTAGTGATAATAAGGAAAATAAACCAATAAAACGGCCGTTGAACAGAACATATAATAATACATTAAGCGCCGCAAAAAAATTAAAGCCTCTTGAGTCATCAAAACCATCAGGTAGGTTTCGTAATCTCCCGGCATAGTACACGTATTATATAAAAGTTAAAAACATCAATCTTTGTGTATCTAAAATACAATTCAAAAGTATTTAAATGTCAAAAAAATATTTGATTACATATAGTAAATAGTAAATAATAGTATTATCAAGATTATGTAGTGTTTAGCATTATTATTTCACAATAAGTTAATTTAAAGTTTATTTGCTGGTTCCATTTGTAGTATAAACAAGACTGCAATATATTTATCACAAATAATTACCTAACTCCATTTCAAATTAAATGTAATATTATTCTTAAAGTAGGTTGGTGTTACAGTTTTGTTGAAAACAATTATATTGTTTAAGTGTTTTGTCAATTAAGTAATTTGTCTCCTTTTAGCACTGTTATGGCTCAAAATGGCAGTATACTTGTTACCACATGTGATAGGTATGTGTGGTAACGCTTAATAATTCTTAATAACCAGTTGTTATGACATTTTTGAACAAAAATATTTTATATGTAAAGAAATACATATTTATTTGGATCAATCATTAAGTCCTGGTTACATGAGCAAAGTTGTAGATATCACTTTTTTATTAAATATGACCAAAAGTTGTACAAATTGAAATAATAAAAATATCTCTTTCAGAACAATCTTCAGAACCAGAACTGATAGTAACTCAGCCTCTACAATCCACCTTTGCCATGTTGAATGGCCATCACCCATCAGACAACCAGTATGGGGGCACAGTGCAAAAGAAGACACCTATTGCCACACTCTCTAACTTAGGGAATACCTGCTTTCTCAACAGTGTGCTCTATACTTTACGGTAAGAATGTGTGTTCACACATTTTACACTTAATCTTGTAATAGTGTAATGGCAATCTGGACTGAAGGTGGCTAAAATTGCAATTATTATTTGTGCATATTTAAAATGACTAAAATTGCCACTTGTTTTTAATTACCACATTGTTTATTAGTATTCCATACCAACAACATTTAAAATAATATAATATTCAGGAATTAAAGGCTAGAACCTAAATACAGTTTTGTATTAATAGATAATCTCACATAAATAGAAAAAGAATTGCCATAGCCTTTCGAAAAGGAAAATATTTTAAAATCCATCATTCCCTTGCCATTCTTGATCATCAAATAGCATCAGATGGCTCTATTTTGAGGATCAGGAACTCTTATACTCATAATGAATTTGTGGAACACACATCAGCTTTATTCACACCCACTAAATTGCACTGCAATCTTTTTGCTGTAAGCGAATTTGCATGATAGACATTTTTTTTAACACACAAAAATGTTCTGTACTACTTACATAACACTCTCTATTGTTCCTTTTCTTGTTACACACATCTAGTATTGTTTTTGAATATTGGAACCACACCCTTGTTTTTGTCATTTAAAATTATCCCTGATACTGAAAAACAACACATAAGCAAAGAATATTTTACATATATATATACAAGCTTAAAGGCAACTTGATAAAAATTGGTAATTGTTGCCTATATGCATGAGTAACAACCTAAAGATTGCAGAATATTCTTCTAAAATACTATCTATCCATTGCTGATTCTAAAATTATGCTGTTATTCATCAGCTGATAGAATTATTTTCTAAATAAATATAAACATTACATTATTATTCTAGTTTAATTATTTGAAAAAATATACATGACTTTGTGAATTTTGTTTCAGATATGCACCTCGTTTTCTTCATAATCTGCATCATCTTGTATCAGACTTAGCTAGTGTGGAACAAAAACTTGGTAGTATCAGGCAGAAGAGTTCATCTCTGGGCAGAAGTGCAGCTGGCCTCGCATCCTCAGGGGCAAGATCTTGGAGCAGCAAGGACCTTCTATCATTAGGACAGTCAGACAACAGTTCAGGGAAAAGTAAAATTCAGGTATTATATTTTCGATCTTGTACTATCAATTACAATGAACACACAACTACAACAATGAACTGTTGTAATAGCAACACCGACAACATTTCCCCTAAAGAAACGAGACAACAACAAAAAAAAATAAGATCCATACTAACTTGACAATCACATGTATACACATATGTGTGTACTGAGAAGCCAAAATTTTTTTGTCTTTTTTTTTAACTCATTTCATTTATTATTCATTGGTAGAACAACATACAAAGATACAAAGATACTTTGATTTCAACCTGTAAATTTTAATTATTAATTTTTATACATTAATACATACAAAAACATTATCATGTTTTCTTCATTAGTAGGTTAAAAGTAAGATAGAGGTGTAATATCTTTGTTTATTATTACTGTTACATATTTATTTAAACCTTCAATTAGTGATAGTACAGTTGCAGATAAATTAATAAATTTCATGACTAATAATAAATTAAATAAATAACTACCTATCCTTTATGTAGATTTTGACATGTGTAATTGTATTTCCTCATTAATAAGGTATGGTATATATTGGAAATAGTACTTGGAAATAAATTGTCAATTAGTGCCAAATAAATTGGATAATGTAAATGCCAATTTACTCTGTCATCAGACAAAAAAGGTGTTATAAGTATTATTATACTAATTAACACAGAATAATATAATTGAGGGCAACCTAAATGATAACACCTCTTTATGTCGTGTATAAACTGTACACTTCAGAACTATAGATCATTGTTATCTCATCAGATAATGCTGAGCAGTTTGTCAACTGATAAAAATATCTGCAACTAGGTTATGTAATCCTAATGAATATTATAAGTAAGTTTGTTTGTTTGTTTCACTTTTAGGCCTAAATCCACTAAATTGATTCTGATTTATTTTGGTATAGAGATAGATGTGGCTCTGAAAATGTTATGTTGCTTTTTTTTTGTGAAAAACTTATAGTAGACAGAATGAGGGAGGGGAAATTTTTGTATGAAACTTTTTATCGTGTCCTTCGATTTGATTCACTTTGCAGAATTATTATTTATAATTCATAATTAAAGTATACATATTTCTTTTTTCAAACCACTCCTGTCCGCTGGTAAGCCCTCAGTTACCATAACCTGAATACCTTAAGCTATACCTCCACACGTGTAAAGTAATAAAATTAACATTTTTCCTTCCAGATAGCAACAGAGAAATTACATGAGACATACTTTAATTTGCGCGCAGCCGAGAGTAAATGTATCAACAGTGGCTCGGCTGACGCAAGTCCCGAACCGTTTGCTGCAGACGCCTTCCTTGCTGCACTGAGGGATGTCAACTCCACGTTTGAAGGTAAAAACTATTTATTTATTTATGCTTTTGTACAATCACTTTTAATATAAATATTAGTATAAAACGAAAATATACACAGGCACATTTATCTCTTAAAGACATTTTTTTTTTCAAACTTAAGTAACCGAAAAGATAAACTGCAAAAGTAATTTAAGTTAAATTATATTATTATCATCATTTCAGCCATTATTTGTCCACTGCTGGACATAAGTCTCCCCCATAGATTGCCATAAAGGACAGTCCTGAGCCACTTGCATCCACCAACTCCCTGCAGTGCATTTCAGATCGTCACTCCATCTAGTGGAGGGTCGTCCTACGCTGCGTATATTATTAGTAGCGACATAATTAGTAACTGAATATAGACAAATAAAAATATATATTATAGTATATATATGTATAAAGTAACTGTTTATTTATTTAACTCTTTATTGCACCATAAATAAAAATATACAATGACAAGTGAATAATTCAAGTGAAATACAGTAACATAAATACAGATTAAAATATACACATAAAGGTACAATATATTATATACTATTATACATAAAAGTACTTGAACTATCAATTGTAAAATGTATTTATTTTGTTAGTTTCCTGTATATTATATTTCTATATCTTATCATAAGACCTACTTCATATACTCGTACTTTAACCAATAATATTTATTTATTGGTTATGTATGTGTCATTATTAATATTATATCAATTTAATAGTGGGGGCTGTTAGATCCGTTATTATTCCTGATTTAGATCAGAAGCTTATGAGAGTGACGGGGGGAGGGGCTCACATCTTTCTAATCTAATCACATATACGTATTTATTGCAGGTAACAGACAGCAAGATGCGCACGAGTTATTGGTCTGCATATTGGACAATATACGCGAGACATGCAGGGCGCTCTCTGCGCGTGCATCCAGGCTGCAAATCCATGAAAATGGCGAAAGGTAAATATAATCTGAAGACAACTTTTTAATGTTTCCCTGATAAATTTTATTGAAGAACTAAAAAATATAGTGGTGCATGAAGTGCTTAACAGATTTTTTTTTTTTTAATGAAAGTAAGAAGAAACTCTTATAATTGCAAAAATTCGACAAATTTGACAAGTTTGATGACTTTTTATAAGACCTGTTACTTTTTTTTTTTACTTTTTTAGAATAAACGTAAATATCAATACCTAAAATTCACATAATTATTATGACTTTAATAAAAACTTTGAATAGAAAATTGAACACTTTCATTGGCGAAAAAAGGTCGATCTTTATCCACCTCCTTTATATTTTCATCTTAGCAACGGAATCGGTCGCCAGCCGAGCTTGGACGGTGACGGGGGGAAGCCCACGCTCGGCAACTTACGTAAGTCGTGGAAGAAACGTAAAGAGGTGAAAGCGAACGACAAGAGGAACTCTCCGACGGACGACCGCGCCTCCTCGCCCGCTGACCTCGAGCGGGACGAGAGGACGCGGCCCGGCTGGGACTTCGTTGCTGATGATTTTGAAGGTAAATTTTTTTGTGACATTTAGAATAGCAAACAAGCTAACAGACCACCTGATGAAAACCTGTAACTGTCGTCTAGGAACACTGTGACAGTCATGGAAACCCTCATGGATTGCCATTTCTAAGGACTATGATATTATGTCACTCTAACCTGTAATTTTTCAGCCATATCCCACTCTTCAAACCGAACATCTGACATTTCGTCATAGTCGTAGAATACTGACGGATCTATATATGTAATATTCGTTAGACCCGTCAGTATTCTACGACTATGACGATTTTATTTTCTCTAGTGCTCAAAAACTTATCTACCGTTTAGTTCATTTTCCACCAAATTACAACTCCATATGATCCCCATGAAAACCATTGTGGTTATTTCTTAGAGAATTCTTTACGATGAGGGCCAATTGCCCTAAATCCATCCTTACCTTTCATCCTTGTAAACCACCAGCATGTGCCAATATCTGCTTTTTTTATTATTACCATGGTAACTCCTGCATTTATTGGTTACCAGTATTAAACTTTTCTGTATAACTGTGCATGATGAAATATAAAAATTCGCATACATATGTAAATGCTTAGTCTGACATGTAAAATATTCCATTATGATTATGTATAAAATCTTGAGGGAAAAAGAATAAAGTGATTAGTAATGGGGCCTAATTGCCCCCATCATTTGCAATATTCCCCATCTGGTCTTCCGCCACACGGCTCCCCCTAGAAACTATCCCGGTTAATTCTTGTAGCATTTCGTCGTGATGGCCTAAATGACCTACTTTCATCCGCACCTATCATCTGTCATTGGTGCCGTGTCAGCGTATGTTGATAGCGCGTGCAGGGTTACCATTCCATTATCGCCCATTAAAAAAACCGCTATGTCATAACATAGCTTACGGGAAACGGTTTTTTACTAAGTTATGACTTAGTATATGATACAAGATTCCTGTAACTCCTTCCCCTGTGGTCCTGTCATACAATAGGCTACTCCTTCCTTTCCCGTGGCTGTTGTAAAAGGCGACTAAGGGAGGGCGAGTGAAGGGCAGCAGTGTCCCTCTTAAAACATCTTCAAAGCCTAACTGTGGTTGCCAATCCGACTGCCAAGCGTGGTAACTACTAACAAAAGCCCCTTAAGGGGGAGGCTTATGTTCAGTAGTGGATAGTTAAGCTGATATAGATGATGATGATATAATGATTCCTATATTATAAGCCTTGAGCTTAGTGTAGGAATCACTGATAAATAAATAATAAAAGAAGACCCAGAAACTTGACGCTAGAAGGCGGACAGCCTCGTACGAGTGAGGGAAAAGGATTGTTAGCAATAATATATCTAGCGACTACTGCTAGCGATATATTCATCAAGTCGGTCTTTTTTAACCCCGCCTGCGCTAACGGTATACACTGGCGGGGCACCAATGAGGGATGATAGGTGAAGATGAAAAGACAGGTCAGGTTAGTTAGCTCATTGTGATGAATACACTTAGAATTCAGCATGATGGTGATCATGTGGAGGTCGACCTGGTTGGGTATATTGCTAGCAATGGGGTCCTTAGTGTACATTAATAACAATCCCCCCCCAACAAGTCGGTCTCCACGTGGTTCCAGTACAATTGCATAGTCGTACATTAAAAGTATGAGGTCAGGAATAGTGTGCGTGTGCGCAGGCACGATGGTGGTGCGCACGATGTGCCTGGAGTGCGAGAGCGTGACGGAGAAGGCGCAGGCGGTGTGCGAGCTGTGCGTGCCGGTGTGCGACGACGAGCCCGCGCGCGCCGACGACGAGCCCTTCCGCGCCGCCTGCCTCTCCAGCGAGTACCTGCGCGACCAGAACAAGGTGTGCACGCCCTCACACCCTCTACACGCATCTATTCACTCACACATTATAAACTATATTTCATGTTTTTTTTTTTCTTTTTTATGAAAAATACATATACTCATAAAAACTAGAATCTTCTACAAACCTATTACACTGAAGGAAGAAGGAGAATTCTAAAAGAATAAAAGGGGAATCAACACTGAAAGAAAAGAAGATTCCTTTTTAAAAGGCTGGCAGCAACAATGACGTACGTAAAAAAGAAGGTGAGCCGCATGCTCGTTTGCCCCGTGTTGTAAAAAAAAAGGGGGAGACTACAGTTCAACAGCTAAAATAGGTTTATAAGTATTTTGACATTTTTATGAATTGTTTGTTCGATATTATCTATAATCTTAGATGAGGTAGTCAGAGATATTTTGTAGCCGTTCGATGCATTGCGCTAATTTTAAAATTATATTAAATTGTTATATTGTTACATATTTGTGAAATATACAATATTTACACAAAAATTTATAAATATAAATAATTATAAATAATAAATTATAAATAATTGACAAAATGTCTTCAAAGGAATTTGTAAACTGGTTCATAATTTGCTAACATACACGATATTTGAGATTTTGTATCATGAAAAATCTCTGACTTCAATCAAAAACATATATATATATATATATATATATATATATATATATATATATATATATATATATATATATATATATATATATATATATATATATATATATATATAACATGAAAAAAAAATACAATTAAATTGAGAATTTTCTCTTTGTTTGAAACCTGTTGAAAAATAAATGAAAGAGAATGCAGTATAAAGCAATCTCTCACATATAGAAGTGATGCCCTCCAAAAATCTTGCCATGGAATTCACTGCATCAAGTGATCCTGTAGAAATCTATAGGTGGACAATGAAAGCCTGAAATGATGAGGAGTAAGAAGTTACTCTTTTAATTAATTAAAAAAAAAACTATTATTTTATTTTTTATTTATTTTTTTTATTTATACAACTTAGAATGGCAAACAAGTTAATTAAAAGTAGTAACTATTAAAAAGACATAACAGTGTATATTAAGTGTGAAATATTTATTTTGTATTTTATTAAAAAATGTCTGTAGTTAAGTTTACTTGAATAAAAAAATATTATTATTTTTATCTAATGAATTGCTTCTGTGAACAGTATTGGTGCGAGCGCTGCCTACGCTACAACGAGGCGCGGCGCAGCGTGGCGTACTCGCGGCTGCCGCGGCTGCTGGTGCTGCAGCTGAAGCGCTTCAGCGGCGGCATGGAGAAGATCACGCGGCACGCACCCACGCCGCTGCTCATGCCGTGCTTCTGCGAGCCCTGCGCACGGCGCCCGCCTGAAGTGCCGCCCGACCACAGGTACCTATATTCACTCGCTATGTATATGAAGCACTGCAGTAATCAATTGAAGTGGACTACAGGTTTGCTACATTATAGAATGAGGTAACTGGTTCGTCAACACGGCTTTACCGAAAGCCTTTCACGTAAAGAATTGCAGCGATAACATGGAATGAACCACGCTTATACTGATATGTTATCTCAATTGCTTCAGAGAGCGTAATGACATATCTGACTCATTTACACTGCCCTATCTATTATGGCTACTCATTGCTCACTACTTTCATGTAAAGTTCCTATTACCCAATCACAGGGGGGAAAAGGATTGTTAGTAATGGAGACTGAGAAGCTCATTGCTAGCAATATACCCAACCAGGTCGACATCCTCGCGGTTCTCCCTGGAAACTATCATGGTTAATTCCTGACAAATTCATCATGATGAGCTAACTAGCCTGTTTTCATTCTCATCTATCACCCTTCACTGGTGCTCCGCCAGCGTATCCCGTTAGCGCAGGCGGGGTTAAAAAAGACAGACTTGATGGATATATCACTAGCAGTAGTCGCTAGTTACTATTGCTAACAATCCTTTTCCCTCACAAAAAAAAAAACTACCCAATCACATGTATACACCTCATTTATATATTAGTTGTAAGGCATATAGATGTTCGATATGCACACACGCCACTGCTTGTCCCTTGCTTACACATTACATACCTGATAATGTATAGAATAAAGCAAAGTAGTTTAGTAATTTGGCAAATGGTCAGAACTTGATGAAAAAATTGATTTCTAAAAGGATGTATATTTTATTAAAAAATCACTTTTGGATTTTGTGTGTATAATGATTTCATGCTATCTTTAGAAAAAAATAATTAATAATTCATATGATTTTGCAAGCAAACATGTGGGCCGCTAGAATATAACATGCCCAATTCTATACCAGTGTTTATATATTTATATACATGTTTATCAATAGCTTTTAAATCTTATACTGGTTCCATATTAACTGTGTCATGATTGATCATAATATTTTAGTGCCCTAAAGTAAAATCAAACTGATAATAACTTCGCAGATATGTCCTATGGGCGGTGATCATGCATCTTGGGCAGACATTAACGGGCGGGCACTACGTGGCGTACACGCGGTCAGCGGCTGCAGCGACCGAGACCGGTCGGTGTGCACGAGAAACCGGAACCGGAAGCAGCAGCGGCGGCGGGGAAGGCGCGACTAACAACGCGTCGTCCTTCATGCGCAGCTTGTTCGCTCGAGGCCGCCCAGCGCCAGTGGGCTGCGGTGCACGCGACTGCTGCTTGCCGCGGCCGCGAGCCGACTGCTGGCTCGCCTGCGACGATGACCTCGTCAAGCCCATCTCCAATGAGGAGTTCGAGGATTTATTATCAGCCGAGCCCAAAGTTCGCACAGCAGCGACACCCTACTTGCTGTTCTACGTGCAGAGCGACGCCGGCTAGTGCAGCTCTATGCGTGAGCAAGTGTCGGTCGGCCGAGGCACCATCCGCCGCTGTCCGCCCGGTAGACGGTTAACCGCGAGACCGATGCGAGAGATTCGGTGGCGCGCGGCGTTTGCCTACTTCTTCATAATGTACTATCTCGGTGCAGGCTGCCTTGTGTTAATTTTCCATATATATTCCATTGTTTTCAGTTGACCATATTTGACTATTACGGTTCAATCTTAGTGTGAGAGTACAGTGAGCGAAAACATGTCATTTGTTATGCTATATTATTTAGATGCTTAAAACGAGACTAAGTAGTAGGCACAAGTAAATATATGAGCCTGACGTGATACTATTGATGTAGCTAAAATATATATATAAAAATTTAGTGTACAGATATCAAACGAAGAGTTATAAAAATATATGGAACATTTCACAAATATTTTCACTTGTTACTCCGACAATATCAAACAAATATGTAACGGTTCAGATTAACCTTCCATTGTATACTGATTATATATTTGAAATTAATATGTTAATGCGTGAAATATTATAAAGAAAAATGTATTTTGCTGCGCTGTTAGCATATATTTATAAATATGGGCCTAAAATACAGTATAGTCTATTTTTAAACATAATTTGTTTAATCACAGTGTTACGATTTTACTTGATATTTACTGCTTGAAGTAACAATATTAGTCTCCTTTAAAAAAAATATTCTAAATAATAATGTATCTGATCCCGAAAATTACAATTTCTATAAATTTGTTTCTCGCTGCTGAAATTGGAAAATTTGTAGTTTGCTTATTTATATATATACAAATTGTTAAAGGGTTGTTCCCATTATGATAGAAATGCATGCAAATAAAAAATCTCCCCCCATCATGATACTACATTCCAACACTGGGCATAAGATACATGACGTAAAAGCCATCATACCCTATCCCAACTAATTAAAGATCTATAAATTAATAATCCCCCATTAATAGGACAAGGTGTGGTAAAATCTTTGATGATGATGATGATGATGAATGGATGATGAAGTTTAAACTCTACCTGTATTGTATACAAAGTTGTTTTTGACTAACTCCCATATAAAAACTAAAACATTCTACAAACCATTTTAGCTGTTTCGTTTCATTTTTGTGTTTCTTTCAAATTAAGAATTTAGTGCAAAAAAGAAAACAAAACACTTGAATTACTAAAATAGGTTTATGAGAGATTTGACGGTTTTTATCAATAAGGGGGCAAATATATTTGATTAATGCGATGGCATATGCATGCTTCCTTTATATAAATTGTATTTATACAATATTTTTTTTCGTCCACCGACGGTTTTTTTTTAATGGAAGATAGTGGTATGGTGAGCTCGCCTGCTCTATCGGTATACGCTGGCGAGACACCAAGGTAGGATGATAGATGACGATGAAAGCAGGTCAGTTTGCCCATCGTGATGAATTCCACTAGAACTAACCACGATGGTTTCCAGGGGGAATCGCGCGGAGGTCGACCTGATAAGGTATATTGCTAGCAATGGGTCAGACCCCATTACTTGCAATCCTTTGCCCCCCATCCACCGACGGTTATAATCAGAGTGTCTCTAGGTAACCATCAGTAGTAAATCATTGACAACTCTCACATCTCGACATCTTCGCTACAAACTAGGCATAGATAATATGGATACCCAATTCGATATCTATATATCGGGTACCTCTGGACGTTGATGACGGAAAAAAGGTCATCATCTATTTCGATATCGCCCATATCGGTCTGATATCTATTTTCGAACAAGTTAAAAGTCTGCTATTCAATATTATTTTTTGGATAACAGACTTAACATATTGGTTATTGGTTCAGTAGATATTGTAACTAAATATATAGATATCGCTATATATTTTTTTTAAATGGATGATAATGGAATGGTAACCCCACCCGCGCTATCGGTATACACCGGCGGGGCACCAGTGAAGAATGATAGGTGAGGATGAAGTAGGTCAGTTAGCCCATCGTGACGAATTCAACAAGAATTGTTCACGATGGTTTCCAGGGGGAACCACGTGGAGGTCGACCCAATAAGGTATATTACTAGCAATGGGGCTGTCAAACTCCATTGCTAACAGTCGTTTTGCCCCCATCGCTATATATGGAAATACATTAATGGAAACACCCCTTTACACAGGAAAGCTAAAAAAAGACAACCACAGACAATAAATTGAGGTAATTTAATTCTTTGTGTCGTGACTACGAATTGTAAAACACCTTTTGTTATTAATTAATTAAAATCCAAACAACGCACATTAGATTTAATTTGAAATTGTTTTGTCAATTGTTCGCTAAACTACAACGAAATAATTGCTTGCTCTATGACTGCTCTCTACAAATTGACAGTATGCAATTAAGAATTTATTATGAACTAAGGGTTTGTTATGAATTCAACAATATTTTTCTATGTGGCAGCTAAATTGTTGCTTAGAGTGCAATGCCTATATGGCTGGCTATAACTGCATTGCCTGTGAAATTTCAAACATTTTTAGACTGCTCTTTTTATATCATTTTTTTTTTCATATAATTTTTAATTCTTGTTGTAGATATTATCTCTACATATTATAAAACGACAGTATGTCTGTCGGTATGTTTGCAAAGACCTCAAAAATTACTGAACGGATTTCCATGCGATTTTCATTTATCAACAGAGTGATAAGGTATAGGTGTTAATTCAACAAGGTTTTGTAAAAATCAAAGAAATATGACGATTGTGGAAGATATCGATAAAAATCAACCCACCTGGGAGCTTTTAGCCATAATTTTAATTTTTCTTTATTCCATTTGAGATATAACAATGTTTGATAGAATTGTTTCTCTTTTATAAGTCTACAATTGCGCAATAACATTTGTCTATATTTAAAAACTAGCTTACTATACCTATCTAATTCACACTCGCAACAAATTGATGCAAAAAAAAAAATATAAGCATATATGCTCTAGTACCCTTGCGGAGCCGGGATGACTCACTAATACTACATATATAAAAACAAAAAACATGATTATATATAATCCATTAATACATTTTTCATGCTTACAAGGAACGAGTGATCTTCAAAATTATATATAAAATAATTTCATCTTTGAAATTTGACAGGTAACAGTCTTTGGTCAGGTATACGGTATGTATGTACTCCCTTGGTTCATTACAACGTATCCGACCTATTTATGTAGATATAATGAAATTCATAAAATACTACATATTTTTTTATTGATAAAATATTTTCTGTTATACAATAAATAAGCAATGTTAAATAATTTTAATCACGTTCGCTTATTAACTCTACCATTTACAATTTGTGAATTATTCCATTTTTAAATTACATATATACAGTAGCAAATAAATTTTCATAATTGTGTAATTGTCAACTAAGTACCTAAGATTAAGAACTTTTAGTTCAATCTAATTGGTACTTACCATAATCGCTGACAATATTTCATGTTACGTAAAAAAAGATATATTGTGGAATAATTGAGTAGAATAGATTTTCAGCTAGAATTAAGAATCGAACGTGTTTAACATATTGCGGAAGGGATCTATAATTTTAATAGCTGTAAATGTTTCGGATGCCATTCCTAAAACCTTTGCAAAAGGTAAAATTCTTGTCAGTAGATATATACGAATTTTATGTTTATGATTTAACAGACAAATTGTTACATCGTTACTTTTAATTGTAAATTGGATTTGGATAATAAAAATAAGTTCTATAAGTTTTATCTTATTGCATCCTACTTCTCTTCGACCATTTTTTATTTTTTTATTTACTGCTTTTTTTTTTCTAGTCTATTTTAAATGAATCTTGTGCTGAAAAGGGCCGTATCACATAAAGAAAAATACCAAATTTGTCATGGAAAAATGTTTCACTTAGTAGATTCCAAATCTGGTAAACCATAAAATTTCAATTTATAGTTTATCAAAACTATTGCTTGGCTTTACGCCGGAAAATATTTGTAATAATAATTTGGAGGTCTCAACTCCTCTGTAACCGTATTTATATATTCCAAAATTTAAAACTTTACAAGGTGTAAGAGCAATGTACATACTTGTTTTAAAAATAAATCTTGAATCTGTTAAAGTTTATTAAAAGTGTTCTATTTTAATATATGTCTGAAATACAATCACACTAGTTTTATATGCTTTGATCATGCTACTTATTCCGGAGATACCGTCGTTATTTTCATTCTTGTTATCTTCTCCCGAGGACAGTGAATGTTGAAGAGCATTGATAGTGACTCATTGTTCGTTCCCGGCGTGTGGAGGCCGTGATATTTTGTATAGGCACATAATAATTATGTAGAAACGATAAGAGAACATGTTTTCATAATAGTAATTGATAAAAAATATAGATACCTGTATTAGAGCACGCGCATACTGGAGAAAAGAGAAGCAAACTGGCGATAAATTATCATGATATTTTTCTACTTATCTTCGGGTCATGGAGATAAGTATTAGAAAACTTGTTACGGATTATAATATCCAATCTAGCATTCTCTAAAGATTTTCAAAATGCTGCTAAAATAGACGACATATAAAATCCCAGTTTATATAAGAAAACTATAATTTACATAATTTCGGACCATGTCTTAATACCTACTAATGGGCGAAAGGGATTGTTAGTAATAGCGTCTAAGAGCCCTTGCTGGCAACGTGCCCATCAGATTGACCTTTACGCTTCTCGCTAGAAACAATCGTGGTTAATTCTTGTTGAATTTGTTGCAATAGAAGACTACCTCTCACTGATGTACCATTCCATACCATCACTATGAAAAAAAAAAACAAACATTGTAAATACCTTAATACAAAATATGTAGGTAATTAGTATATGGATATAAATTCGATAGATAATATTCTGATAAAGTTTCATGATGCACTACGACTGCGCTTAGCTCAATCTGTGATAACTCACCAGTTAAGCCAACTTTGAAACCACCAGTCAAAAACATGTAACTAAAACGTAAAATTAGTTAGTAGGTAGATACAAATCCACGTCCTTACTAATATTACAAATATGAAAGTAAGTTTGTTTGTTACCTTATAGCGCCTTAATGGCTTAACCAATCTTTATGAAATTTGATAGTTCTACATACACACATTTTTTTTTTTAATGGATGATAACAGAATGGTAACCCTGCCTGCGTTAACGGTATACGTTGGGGGGAAAGGGATTGTTAGCAATGGAGTTTGACAGCCCCATTGCTACCAATATACCCTGTTAGGTCGACCTCCACGTGGTTCCCCCTGGAAACCATCGTGAACAATTCTTGTTGAATTCGTCACGATGGGCTAAATGACGTGCTTCATCCTCACCTATCATCCTTCACTGGTGCCCCGCCGGTGTATATCGGTGGCGCAGGTGGGGTTACCATTCCATTATCACCTATTAAAAAAAAAAAAAAACGGTATACGCTGACGTATGATAAGTGAGAATGAAAAGGTAGGTCAGTTAGCCCATCGTGATGAATACACCTGATATTCATCACGATGGTTTCCAGGGGGACCACGTGGAGGTCGACCCAACAGGGTATATTGCTAGCACAGGGGCTGGTAGTCCACATTGCTAACAATCCCTTCCCCCCCATACACACATATTAGGTATACGTACTATATGAGATGAAGAAGGATATAAGATACTTTTTATCCCGGTAGTAAACATATCCCAATCACGCGAAATCGCGGTTAAAAACTAGTGACCCATAAAACTGGTATACTTTGTTATGTTTAAGTTAGGTAGTTATTAAATGAACGTACTACACATCATTATTTAGAATATTCAAACATAACGATTAAAAATTCATGTTTATCGGTAGTCTCAGTTCTTGATTTTAACTCACACTACTCTTTATTTTTATCTTAAAATGTGTATATATTTTTGTCTCAATGTAACAATCGTGTATGGGAATATATCTCAATAAATATTATAAATATTTAATTGGTCAGAGATAGGACCCGGTGACTTGATAAGAGGGCATACATGTTTTTTTATCAACTGATAATGTAGGGTATACGGGTCTTTAAACAATCTTTCGTACAGTTAGTAGTGGTCAAGTGGTCGTCGTATCAGCTTTATACTAGCTTGCTATTGTACTTTTATTTGTCGTGGTTGCTTTTTAATTTTTTATATTCGTGCTAGTTATTGGAATAATGAAAGCTATAAAGAATAGATTGGAAGCAGTAAGTAGTCATTTTTATACCATACTTTTAAATAAATTTAGTCAAATTATTTTCAATGTAGGTAGGTACATAGATAACATTTGTTGTTAGAAAAGAATTTTTCTGCAAAAATGTCTTTCTATATGTGTTTTATGTGGATAGATACTTCTATAAATAAACAAATTTTTATCAATTACCAGAAATTAGGTTTTTTTATCATAAGTAGATATTCGCAAATAATACAGTCAAGATCAGTAAATTTATTCATACCTACATGATATACAATATTTAAAATCTTTTTTTACACAAATACATCAAATATAACCTTAAATACTTTTATAAAGAAATTAAATAAAAATAAATATTAATGACAATACTTATAGGTGTTATTAATGAAGAGTTTAATTTTAAAAGCTAAATCGAAGCAAGTTACTACATATTAGAAAAAAAAATTAAACATTTAGACTATGGTCAAAACCATGAATAGTGTTTCTAGCCTAAAAATTTCCATTTACCTGACTATGACATTCAGTTGACCTCTAAAGTCCTTGCATGAAAGAAGTTACTGTCAAACTAAGCTACTTATCTATTAGTGTATATTTAATCATCTTTCTATGTATTGTGGCAAGTGTTAATAATACCATTTAAGTAATTTAAAACGTTATAACAATTTAATTCATCAAGAAGAATTCTTAATCTAAAATGTCACATGTAAGTACACAATACTATATATTTTCAGAAAGTTTAACTGTACTTAACTTTATACAGTAAAGAACTACTTAGTTGGTAAATAATAAAAAGTTTCACTTTAAATTTCAGAGTTATCGAGTAAGAAATGTAGTGTCATAATATGATATAGAAAGAAATTAATTATCATTATTTAAGTATTACGAACATTGTTATGTGATGGTTTAAATGACATTAACAAATGAAGTTCTTGGCCAATTTGTATTATAGCTATAGCTATTACAGGTTATTGTAGTAACAAGGAAAATGATGTATGCACACAATTTTGATCGTGTGAGTCAATAATAAGACATAACCTTAACTTTAAACGTGTTAAATATACGGACAAGTAATTTTATGTCAATTTAAAATAATTTAAATGGTCATTGATTATCTATTTTATATAAGTTAATTATAACGAATGAAGACGATCTTGCTGATCTATACGAACCGGATTGTGTGCTAATTAGGTTGTTATGTGCGAAAAGTGGGCGATGCCGACAGGAAATAATACCACGACGATTTCTTACTGGATTTATTTCTCCGTCTATTCTTTCTTTCTATCCCCGTAGTTACCTTCATTCATGCAGTTTTCTCTCTTCTTAATGCATAGCCTACTTCGTGATAGATTACTTTTTATTCATACTTATTGCTTTAATTTTGTTGTCGCGTTCGTTCGTACTACCGAACCGTTACTACTTCAGAACGAATTAGGCCATCCTACTTTCGAACTAGATATTTCTGAACGGTGTTGATTCCGAAGTGGCTGAACTTCTTAACTGAACTTACTGACTAAATTTGACGATTGCGCAGCTAAACTACATTTACTGAACTAACTAAACTGAACTCTAATGGAACTGTATTCTAAGTAATTCATTAACTAAATAACTCATAATTCTAACTTAACTGTACTCACTACGTAAAAAAAAAACTATGCCTAACTCGACCTTAAACACTCAACAGTCCCAAATTCTCAGTAGACCATACAGACAGAACCAATTACCCACAGTTTACTGGCTGTTATAAAACCCTTCTGTTTATAGTAGTATTGAGTCTCTAGGTCTAATGGATGAGTTTATTGATAGCATGATATCAGTTTTTTTTTAATGGGTGAAAATGGTATGGTAGCCCCGCCTGAGCTAACGGGATACGCTAGCGGAGCACCAGTGAAGGGTGATAGATGAGAATGAAAACAGGCCAGTTAGCCCATCATGATGAATTCATCAGGAATTAACCACGATAGTTTCCAGGGAGAACCGCGAGGAGGTCGACCTGGTTGGGTATATTGTTAGCAATGGGATTCTCAGACTCCATTACTAACAATCCCTTTCCCCCCGCGTGATATCAATTATAACCAAGGCAACAAAGGTGTCCATTTTTTTATGACGGTCTTTCATTATTTAAAGTTGTGAAGTCCTTACTTTGGTATCCATAATAAATCTCCATTAGGTATGACACACAAAGAATGCCACACCAGATATGAGCCGCCTTTGTTAAATATTCTATTTCAACTATCCACCATTTCTACCACAAATGCTTATTGTCTACAGAATTACACTATTTTTACAACATAACAATTTAAAAGAAATCCAATGTACCTATCCTATTCGCATTAACCAATTATACATCGAGAACAGCTATAATCTATTCGTAACAACGATTAAATACTGAAATACAATTTCCTTTTGTCAAAATAGGTATGCTATCTGGCTTAAAAAACTAATCACCGGAAATTCCAGCGACAAGATTTATAAAGCGAATTTATTTTTTATATTTGAGAGGTATAATAAATTTTTCGTACAAACTGGTAACTATTTAATATTGACCTTTTTTAATCTTTTAAAAAGTTTTTTCTTTATTTTAATCTATATTTCTTGAGCTAAAGATTCGTCTCATAGTGTCAAGGTTAGTGAAAGGTCACGAAAAAAAATTATACAGTTAACTAAAAGTCAGTTAAAATTAAAAGTGACATTGCTGTCTAAAGTAAATAATTTAGGCAATTATAATTGTCTGATTTAAAAATTATTTTACGAAAAAATATATAGGGACAAAATTAGTACAGAAGGATATGCGAGTGAAGTATTTCGATTAAACAAAAACAATGAAAAACGATTTTGATGATGAAGGCATAACATAAACACTAAAAGTACTATTGAATTAAGAAAATTAAACATTTTAATAAATATATATATATTCAGAAATAAAAAAAAAAAACATTTTGAACGATAATTACAACTCTTTAGCTTACAAACTTTCTCTAAGTTTAGTGGAAAGGTTTAATGTCAGAAGGCGCCATCCGCTTATAAATAAAAATAATTGTTCGGTGATATAGCGTAGCGGACTGCAAAATTCAGAATGATAATTATGACTGTGGAAAATGAACCATAATGCCGTGTCATCAAAAGATTTCTTTTAATCTTTGCTGTGAATACGATTTGATAATAAAAATTTGTTCTGTTATTCAGAGAAGGCGCATGGTTAAATGAACATGTCTATGCCAAATCAAAAGATCTTTGATACTTTGCCAACGTCCTGTCATTTTACAATCTTCTGCGATGTGATTATTCTGAAAACTTGTCCTCTTGAGATACTGACATTAAAAGAAAAATTAATTCAAGCGTGATAATACTTAAACATGACATTTCTCAAGGAATAAATACGACTACTTCGTATATGTAAAATAATATAATTTATTGGACACCAAAAGTTCAGGTAAATTTTGTTTCACAAAAAAAAAAAGCACTGACTACAATCGTGGCAAAACCAGTTACTTTGATTTCAAAACCAAACTACTGAACCGATTTTGATCAAATATCTACTGGTTTAACTGCAAACCATATTCTTTCAGATAAAAAAATCCGAACTTGATTCATAAATAACGAGTGTTCTGTATTAACACAAAAAAAAAAAAAAAAAAAAATACAATTGAATTGAGAATCTTCTTTTTGTTAAATCGATTGGAAAAGTCTAATCAGTAAAAGTAATTTCCAAAGCGAAAACAAAAGAGACATAAAAAGGTATGAAATTTTGCTACATTTTTTTCAGAATACTTAAATAACAAGAAACAGTTAAGACATTAATAAGGAATACCTGACACAATCTAATGTATCTTTTATTAATTTCTATAGATTTCATTCTTAAACTTTCGGTTATCATAGCATGCATATTGAATACCGTATTGAATTACAGGATCATACAGAAAACCATTTTATAATTCGTTCGAGCATACTACTAATCGTAGTCCCGCTCCACTCTTTTATATAATTCAACCATTAAATAGTAACACTTTAATTTTTTTTAATCTATGATTTTCCCGGATACGGAAAAATGAAAATGATGAATCTACAACGAAAATAGAAAAGTTATCCCATTTCCTTCCTTCTTGATGTCAACTATCAGTTTTATTATCGCACTCAAATTAAAGAAAATTTAAATACGCTAAAACGATAGTGTTGGTAAATAAAATAGAAAAGAAAAAAGAAGGAGTACAATAAAGGCGTTGTAGAGATATTTATGTTTACAAAAGCAAAATATTGGCATGTTTTCAAATATGTATATTTAGAAGTGGATATGAACTCGTTCCCGTGTGTTTGTAAAATCTATTAGTTACAATTTGGTCGCGATCAAAGGTACAATATAGAAAAAAAAATGAAGAATATGAAGCTATGATGAATAAATTATCATGGGAATAGATAAGATATCCAGTTTTTAGTATTTCCATTGTTGCACTCACCCCACAGTCGTGGCGGCGTGGTGCGCGCGCAGTTCACTTTTCTCTCTCGCCGCCCAATGTTCGGCGCGCTTCGCTCCGGGGCGCAGATTTCCAATTTTAAAGGGCAGTTCAAGATCACAAACGCCAATTGTTCTATTCAACGTTCACTTTCAGTTACGGATTTTACATTTTAATTCTGTGAATATGGTCTGGACAACGATATACGATGGCAAAACTGAGGTAAATAATTTTTTTCCTCGCTCTATTATTGTGCGATGTCAGCTGTTACGTGAACTAGGTACTTGTTTAATGTTTTTTCATGTGTTGCCTTGACAATAATTCACGCCGGTTTTTGCTCAAAGTAGTTCCTTTATAATGTTTATTATGAGAGGCACTCACAGGTAGAGACTGGTAAATAATCAAATAGGCAAGAGAAAAAGTTTATAGTATCTATTAAGGAAAGTAATTATTTTCAGTGATATTTTTTAAGTATGTGTAGTATAGTGTACAACAAATATTGGATTTTTTATGAATTTAATTAAATACATATCTAGGAACTACGTAATTCTTAACACAAATTTTAAATTCCTTCTCTACTCCATAGGGTACATAATCTGCAAAAATATTTACTTATTTTTCATTTTTTTTTAAATTTAGAATTACTTTTGTCTTTGAAAGGTGATACTTAAACACTATCTTATCTAATATACAGGTATTTTTTATCCTTTTGAAATCAAAATACTTCATAATGCAATCTTAAGTATATTTATTTTGTATTTATATATTTGCTATTAGATATTCAATTTCATTGTTTTAATTACAAATAAATAATATGTATGACTTGTAATATTAATTTTTCATTGATACAGAAAATAAATGTATTAATAAAATTTTTCTTTATAAATTAAAATAATATTGTAATTTATGCTATTATAAGTAGCATAAATTATTAAAATTATATTATTGCGGTATTACTTTGATTACTTGAACTTAAAAAGAATTGCTTAAAAATTTCAAATCAACTTAATGACTTAACAAGTATTCAAGATCTTTTAAGATTTTGATATAGAAAGGCACATAAATAAATTTTTGATACATAAATATATTTTTTATTATAGAGTCATACCTTATAAATAATGTTTTAATGACTTAAAAAATTTAGTTTAATAAGTTTTAGGAATACTATTTAAAATGTTACATAATTCTAAGAACATTTTAAAACTTAAGGAGTGTAAATAAGTATGTTTACCTTATATGGAAATAATATTTTGCTCAAGGCACATAACTCAAGATATTTCATATTTTGTGGTTCAGAAGGGAATTACTGTTTTAACTTATTGCGTATTTTAATAATGTTTTAACTATTAAAGTTTTACTTATAACTAAAACCTTTCTGCTTTTACCTTATTGTGATCATTAGCTATATTTAAATCAAATCAAAACCTTTTTATACATTTGAATCGAATTAGCAGTGCCCACAAATTTGCTGAACATAAGCCTCCCCCTTGGAGAGCTTTTTCCAGTAGTTGCCATGCTTAGCAGGCAGATTAGCAATCGCAGTCAGGCTTTAGAAATGTTTTAAGAGGGACGCTGTTGCCCATCCCATGCCCTCCTTTAGTCAACTCTTACAACACTTATGGGAACGGAAGGGATGTCCTATTCTATGCCGGGACCACACAGCCATTTTGTTAGTCATGCTTTAATGAGGCATTTTTAACAAGGTGACTTCTGTACATTTAAATTAACCATCAGGTTGGATGGTTGATTGTTCTTCCTAAAATAACTTATTATGAATGGAACATATTTAAATATATACATTGGAATTTAACTTCTTTACATATCTTAATTACATATAATTATTACAGATTTCATTAACTTTATAGTAAAAATTCATTTATGTTTGTTACAAAATATTATCAGCAATTGTACACAATCACTGGGTGATGGTGAAAATATCTAGAGAATGCAGCCATAAGTTTTTCATGTACATTACCAATTTCAAATGTACAACATGCCCCCCAACCTACTTTAAATACTCTTATAGCTGGCATTCATGATGTTTCCTTTATAATATTAATAATATTTTATTAATATTATAATATTTATTTTATCATAATCAAGTTGGATCCTATATTAAGGAATAACTAATTGTTACAGACATTTACTAAGAAGAAATAAGGAATATATAGACAACTACAGAACTATGTTCTTTGTAAATTATTGGAATAATGGAAATGTCTATCTATTATTTACTGCATAAAGTTTTCCTTTGAAATTATGAAGTAAGAAGTTTTCCTGTCGAAATATGAAAGAAACATGGACTTAGTACAACATAATTATATACTAAAAATAATGTAATTAATATTTTTAGGTATAGTAAAGCTTGATGGATGTGGAAGAATTTTATAATCAATTTAGTAGTTTATTTAGGCTTGATTTTAGCTTCTTAAAAGTTGTTACTTACTAAAAATGACTATGAAATGACTACTTCATAGAAAAGATTGTATTGTATTGTAAAATCTTTATTGTACATAACTCAGATTAAACACTGGTAAATGATTTAATATACAATGGCGGACTTATCCCATAAAGGGATCTCTTACAGTCAAAGATAAAGTACAGTTAAAGATAATTATATCTTACATAATATCTAATTATTTATATATTTTTGTCTAGTAATAATGGTTGTGTGGTATGTAGTTTAATTTGAGACTTATTTTATTTGATTACTTAATACTTTAATAGGTATTTTGTAAAATTCACATTTATTTAGTGTAATACAAATTATACCTCAATGTCAAAATGATTAGTTCTTATGACTTGTTTTGTGTACCTAATGTATACTAGGTCTTACCAATTGTCACACACATATGTTTACTGTATTATTCATACATAGTATATTTTAAAAATAAATTTTTTATATTCTCAATGCACTTGTATTTTATCTTCGCCAATTCTGAACCAATTTTGATGATTCTTTTTGTATACAAGATAGAATAGGTAGTCCCATATTAGTTTTAGTACGATTGAAACCACTGTTACCATTTGTTTGATAAATTTCGTTAATGACATGCACTGTTGTAACCACAGACAGCCCTCTATGTCGAGGCTGTTTCGACGCCGAAGAAACGGCTGCTCACGTAATCCTGGAATGTGAAGCTGTGGCCCATCAACGTTTAGAAATCCTCGGAACGGTGAGGTCGCTCCGTGAGGCCTGTGAAGAACCCAGGAAGCTTCTGCGCTTCTGGGCGGAGCTAGGTTGGCTGTACTAGCCACGACTCATACGCACAACGGCCCAAATGAGAGGCTAAGCGCGAAAAATAGAGTCTTTTTCACATTCACATGCACTGTTGTAAAACATAGTCACAAACGATATGCGTTGGTGCATAACAGTGCATATGAATTTGATGAAAATAAATGAAAAGTAACCATTCCTACGCTATTGATTTCCTCTGGCTATGTTCCGTGTTCCTGTTACTAAGCATTTTTTTCCTGTAATATTACATTATGTTAATTAACGCGATACAATCCTTAAAACTAATGTTAGTATTAATAGAGTTTCAAACGGGGGAAAGGGATTGTTAGTAATGGAAACTGAGAATCCCATTGCTAGCAATATACCCAACCAGGTCGACCTCCTCGCGGTTCCCCCTGGAAACTATCATGGTTAATTCCTGATGAATGATAATTCCTGAGGGCCAACTGGCCTGTTTTCATTCTCGTCTATCACCCTTCATTGGTGCTCCGCCAGCGTATCCCATTAGCGCAGGCGGGGTTACCATTCCATTTTCACACGTTCTTTCCTAGAAGTAATTTTTTTTATTACCAAAACTAAAAAAGAAATTACAAATACAAAGTCTGTATATACCTATTATTATGTATATGGAATTCAGCACGATCGATTTCGGGGGGAACTACGTGGAGGTCGACCCAACAGGGTATATTGCTAGCAATGAGACTGGTAGTCTTCGTTACTAACAATGTCTTCTAATCGATGTCAGATATTTTTTTTGTAATGGATGATATTGGAATGGCGCCTTGCCTGCACTATCGGTATACGCTGGCGAGGCACCAGTGATAGATGATAGGTGACGATGAAAGTAGGTTAGTTAGCCCATCGTGACGAATTTCACTACAATTAACCACGATGATTTCCAGGGGGAACCGTATGGAGGTCGGGTCGACCTATCGGTTCCCCCTAATTAACTTGTTAATTGACCTCTTGCTAGCAATATACATTAATTAGACCCCCCATTACTAACAACCCCTTTCCCCCGATGTCGGATATTAGCGTGCACAAACATGATGTCATTGATGTGATTTTTATATTATTAATATTTAACCAATAATGATTATCACCAGACGGGCTCCTCCGACAAGCCCGGAATGCAGCTGCTGGCGGCCAACGTGGGCTCCCAGTTGCAGCACATCTGTGCCCTCGACATCGACTCCAAGGCGTCGTACGTTCGACTCTCGGGCATCATCTGTACTATTGGTGAGATATTATAATGCTTAATTATTTATTTTAAACGTCCTACATTTATATGTTAATTACAAAATATTAATTAAAAAGCCTAGTCCCATAAAATTCGTACTTTTCAATAATAGAATTTTGTCTTACTGAAATTTCTATTACTGACAAGTTCAAATTATATATATAATTACGGGTTCAATTTAAAAGAACTGACAAGAAACTCTACTATTTATAATTTTTTTTATAAAGTTTTGAACCAGAGGGAGACTTTGTACAAAAGTCGATTGCTTGGGTACCTCTGTCCCATTCGTGTTTCAACCGTGAAACAGTTGTGTTTGCATGGCTGTGTTTCGGTTTGAAGGGTGGGATATGGCGTGAATTTACTGAGTACAGAGGAATAACACCTGAGTCCTCAGGAATGGCAACGCATGGAGGGTATCATGGGCGAAACAGTATACTCTGTTGTGTTCATGGTACTGCTCATGTCTATAGGCGACGGTTACCACTTTCCATCAGGTAGACCGTCAGCTTGTTTGTCATTCTAAGTTGTATATAAAAAAAAAAAAAACATTTATTGAAAACTTTCTCCTACGGCTATGTCGACCTACTTAGACCGAGTTTCAATTGAATTCTAAACCATTTATCAGGTCCGGCCTCCCGCGATGTCGCCATGCTTGAGAAGATGATGGAAACGGGCATGAATGTGGCCCGCATGAACTTCTCCCACGGCTCGCACGAGTACCACGCCGAGACTATTAAGAACTGCAGAGAAGCAGAGAAGAATTACAGTGCCAAGCTTGGCATCCCGTTCTCTCTGGCCATCGCTCTCGACACCAAGGGTCCAGAGATTAGAACAGGTCTCCTCGAAGGTGTAAGTACTATTGTTTAAAGTTTACGAATACATTATTAGTTTCGAATTCGCGTGACAATGATATGACTAAATAATAAAAATCAATGTTATCTAAAACTGTATATTGAAAAAAAAGTACAGAGAAAAAGTGTTAAATTTAAAAAAAAATACTAAAAAAATTATAAAAATACACATATGTTATAATACATACTCAAATTAGTAGCCTGTCTTTTTTACACATAAACTAAACTCTCATTTGGAAATATTATGAGAGTATTCCATGAGGAAAAGGTTTATACATGGCAATTTAAATCCCATTATATATTGAAAATTATGTGTATCTGGCAACGATTCTATCCTTTAAAAGGAATTTAGATATGTGAATAAAATGAATTTTTTTCTTGATAATAGGTATGAGAGCGAAAAAGTTCTTTGATTTTATACAAAATCTATATTTATAATTATTTAATCAAATAACACCACTATAATAATGACGTCAGATATAATAAATTATTAATTAATTACTCCTTAATGTATGACACTTATCATTAAATATAATTGATAATTTTTACTAAATTATGTCAATTAGGATTTGTATCCATTACCTCTTTATATAATTATAGTAGTACACTAATTGAATTTTATACTACACTAAAGTTATTAAATATTATATATCTACATACAATCACTTGTCGTGAAGAAATTTTTTTTATAACACAGGGGTAAACGAGCTACGTAACTGTTTTCTCGTGGCTACCAATACATACATTACTTCTTAACCCTCTAATGCAGGGAATTAGAGTATAAAAAGTCAAATAGTTGTGAAGAATATTTCAGTAATTCATTAGCGATTATGTCGCTGATTTGTACTGAAAACTTAACTGCGCCTCTAGTGGATGGTTTCGGAAACTCAGATTTCCGTACGAACTTATCGAAGCAAAGTTTTATATTATAATCTTTATACAATAAATTACAGTAGGCCTTTTTTTAAATGTATGATAATGTTGACAAACGTTGGCGGGGCCATCAGTGAAATATGGTTTTTCTTATTCATTCATTACAAATTCAATAAGAATAAACCACGATATTTTCCACGGGCTTTCCGCAAGGAGATTGACTTGGTATATTATATTGCTAGCAATAGGGCTGCTAGTCGACATAAGTTGACAACAAAATATTCATGAATTTATAAACGAAACAAAAGTTTGTAGGTTTTTTGGTGTGTATTCTGCTGGTACATTGTAAAAAAAAATTATTAATAATCCCATTTCCCCCACACTAGGAATATAGACCTTAATAATGTTTCTATAATTTTTATATTACCACTAAATCACCATTTGTTGCCATAGGGTGGTTCGGCTGAAGTGGAACTGAAGAAAGGTGACACAATCAGGTTGACCACCGACCCCTCGTACCAAGAGAAGGGCAACGCGTCCACCATCTTTGTGGACTACAAGAACATCACCAACGTAGTGAAGCCAGGCAACAGGATCTTCATCGATGATGGGCTCATTTCTGTGATCTGTCAGTCTGCTACGGCTGACACTCTTGTGTGCACGATTGAAAATGGAGGTATGTCGGATACTATCATATGCTTATTTATTTATTTATAAATTACTCACCACACTTACAGTCTCCCAAAACGTGTAGTGAGCCATAGGTTTATTTTACAAACGTAAAAATTTTGTACAACATTTTAAAAATATATCTATTTTGTCATTAAATATATCAATATCTGGCTGCTGAGCAATCAGAGAATTGAGCAGAGAAATAGCCTGATAAGTGGAAGCAAACAGCAGTACAGGTGCGAACCGGCGTTATTTTTATCGTTGGCATATTTGTTAACAATATTTTTTTATACAAGCTGAAATCGAAATGTTTAGCGGTATCTAAAAATAAGATTCGACCCATGCTATAGAATGTAGTAGTGGTTATTTGATTAGATTTATTTGAACTCCGTTTTGAAAAACGTACATGAATAAAAAGATAAATGAAAAGTTCGAAATTGATGGCTAATATGGAAGATCGTAAAATGCCTTTTTTATACAACTTAGAATGATAAACATGCTGACGGCCCACCTGATGGAAAGTGGTAACCGTCGCCTTTAAACATGAGCAGTACCATGACACAACAGAGTAAACTGTTGCGCTCATGATACCCTCCGTGCATTACCATTCCTGAGGACTCAGGTGTTATTCTTCTGTACCATGTACACACCATATCCCACCCTTCAAACCGAAATGCAGCCATGCAAACACAACTGCTTCACGGTAGAAACACGAATGACAGAGGTACCCAAGCAATCGACTTTTGTACAAAGTCTCCCTCTGGTATAAACATCTGTTAGTAATAGTGGCGGTCAATCTTTAAATGTTGGTAGTCACACACATACCAATGGTAACGGAATTAAACAAAATGATTGTAATCAAATAATCAGTGATATGGAATTCTGCAGTAACCTACTAAGTTGCAACCTGTAATTTCTTTGTATATTTGTATCTGTATTATTTGTGGAATTTCAGTTAATCTATTTTCTAGACAAAATTCAACGTAATTTTGATAATACAATCTATAAAATGGATTAATTTGCCCCTTATAGGTAGGTAGTGAGAGCTTAGTCCTAGTGTATTACAAATCAGAAGTCATAAAATTAATTCACTTTACTCATTTTATAATTATTTTTTAATTATTTAAAAACATACAATAATAATAACAAATTGTAATAACATAACCAAAGGTGAATCTCTGAATGAGATCTCTTCCAGTCAAGTCATAGTGGCATAGGAAGTAGTGGAATACTAGTAGTAGTTTTTTTTTGTAAAGCAAAGTCTTTTTAAACATAGATAATCACTATGAATAGATTATAGAGTTTACTCCTGTATTTTTTTTTGTGGATGAAAATGGTATAGTAACCCCGCCTGCGCTAACGGGATACGCTGGCGGAGCACCAGTGAAGGGTGATCGATGAGAATGAAAACAGGCCAGTTAGACCATCATGATGAATTCATCAGGAATTAACCATGATAGTTTCCAAGGGGAACCGCGAGGAGGTCGACCTGGTTGGGTATATTGCTAGCAATGGGATTTTTAGTCTCCATTACTAACAATCCCTTTCCCCTCTACTCCTATATTAGATCCATATAGTGTCACGTAACACTTTAGAAGCGGCATTTTAAGTCTACGAAGGTCTTGGGACTAAAATGAAATGAAAACCCCATTTAAGCTATTGACAGGGGGAAAGGGATTGTTAGTAATAGGGACTAGTTGCCTTACAGGTCAACCTCGTCGCGTTTCCCCTTGGAAATCAGAGTTACACGATTTTGTTCTACAGTAGAATAGTTTATGGAGAACATAGTAATATTTATTATTGTAATAACAGGGAGCCTTGGATCGAGGAAGGGCGTTAACCTGCCTGGAATCCCAGTGGATTTGCCAGCTGTCTCAGAGAAGGACAAGGCTGACTTGCTGTTTGGTGTTGAACAAGGCGTGAGTAAATTCAATATAGTAATTAGTAAATATCGTCGGGTGCGCATAATATAACTGGAAAGTGTACTTTATTGGTATAGTGATAAGTACTTTATATTATTCTTAATTTCGTATATAATATAGTATATTTTATATATTTGTTATTTATATATGTAATTTTAGTATGTATGTATATCAATAATTACTAGTACCGCATTCGAGTATTCTGACACTTGCCTATGATTGACTGGGAGAGAATGCTTTTAGCATTAAATCCGTCATGTACACATATATGTACTAATGAATAAATAAATAAATAAAAATAATATAGAGATTGCGTGCCCGAAGATCGAACCCTATGCCCGTAGAGTTAGCACATGCACTGTGCCAACCATACAGCTATGGCCATAGATTCGCACTTAAAACAGAAAAATATAAGATAAATAATGTATTGAACATTGTTTAACAAATCATGTTATGTTGGTGCAATAAAGTGTTAAATAAATAAATAAATAAAGTATAGAAAAAAGGAAAGAAAAAAATAATATAAATAAAAATACATATATAAAACTAAATCAATTTAGATCTTAATCATAAATACACGGATTATAATGTAAATAGTACAAAGTAATCAATAAGATTTATTCCACGTATAATCTTCAATAATAATAATAATTTTGCGGTATGTTTGTTTATAACGGATTGATTGATTTTTGTTGATACCCCACAACTCCATGAAGCAGTATTTCCGAACCGATACGACAACATAACCTTCAAGAAAAGAGTATATTCCTTTTTAAAAGGCCGGCAGCACACCTGCAATGCCGCTGTTGTTGTGGGTGATCATGGGCGGCGGTAGTCACTTACCATCAGGTGAGCCGCATGCTCCTTTGCCCCCTGTGTTGTAAAAAAAAAAAAGCTGCGAGTAAACTGTTGTATCATTAAAGTTTTTTCAATGTGTGAATAGGTGGAGGATAGGTGAAGACGAAAGCAGGACAGTTAGCCCATCGTAACGAATTCCACTAGAATTAACCACGATGGTTTCTAGTGGGTAATCGCGTGGGTGTCGACCTGATAGCATGTATTGCTAGCAATGAGTCAGTTAGGCACCATTACTAACAATCCCTTTCTCCCCAGAGGGCCCTCCTTAGTATTCATAGAACTTCATGCTGTCCTCTCTGGAAAACATCGTCGTTAATTTTTAGTGAATTCATCATGATGAGCCATCTGGCCTGACTTCAAAATCACCTGTGATCTCTCACTGGTGCACCCCGCCAGTGTATTTTGATAGCGTAGGCGAGGTCACCATTGCATTTTCTCCATATTAACTTCTGAATGTACCAAACAAAATTACGTAATAAGGTTCTAATTAATTGATCATCGAACTTTTGTGGTTTTTTTTTTATACAACTTAGAATGGCAAACAAGCTGACGGCCCACCTGATGGAAAGTGGTAACCGTCGCCTATAGACATGAGCAGTACCATGGACATAACAGAGTATACTGTTTCGCCCATGATACCCCCATGTGTTGCCATTCCTGAGGACTTAGGTGTTATTCCTCTGTACCCTGTAAATTCACACCATATCCCCTCAAACCGAAACACAGCCATACAAACACAACTGCTTCACGGTTGAAACACGAATGGGACAGAGGTACCCAAGCAATCGACTTTTATACAAAGTCTCCCTCTGGTTTTGATGGTAAGAAATATATGGAAACTTTCAAGCTTTGTCGACAGGTGTCCATGTGGCCGACAACGTATCTTATACAATGTGGGAGCTTGAAAAATTCCTACGTCCTTCATTACGTTTGCATGGCCGGATTAGAGATTTTTGTCTTAAGAAACGCAGTTTCCCTAAAAACTCGAAGCCAATAACACTTCGCTAACAGAATATTAAGTATGATGATAGATTTGCGGTTTACTTGGTTTGATTATAATTAAACCAAATAAACCGCAAATTTATCATCTTCACACATTATCACCCATTAACCCCCTATCCTGTTATTAATAATTCCATTGCCCCCGTAACAGACACAGTTTGTACCTATCGTAGGCACAGTGTATCCGTCGCGGACTTTTGTTATGAGGACCTTGGCTCGAGTTAATAACAATAGTGTCTTGAGTCATGGTAGATTTTATATTTACGACAACTGTTCGTTTCTATCACGCGGGCTGTCAGCTTGTTTACCATCCTCTGCTGAGATAGATAAAGAAAATAGTTTTTTTTTTACATAGATATGGAACATTTATTACGCAAATACCACTTTTATCTATAACTACATAGTGTAAATAATAAATAAATACCACTGGAAAGAACGCCATTTTATCCCAAACTAAGCAGAGCTTGTACTGTATGTACCTAATAGATAACGGATAGACATGCTAAAATATTTATTTTTTATTAATACATTGAAGACCAAAATACTTATGGTATCTGTATTGTGCTAAGATCGAACCCACAACTCTATGAAGCTGCGAGACAAACTGCTGTATCATTAAGGTTTTTTCAATGTGTGAAAATGGTATGGTAACCCCGCTTGCGCTATCGGTATACGCTGGCGGGGCACCAGTGAAAGATGATAAGTGAAGTCGACGAGAATTAACCACGATGGTTTCCAAGAGGAACCGCATGGAGATCGGCATAATAGGGTATATTGATAGCAATGAGTGATGGGTGATAACTTTGATGTATTACTTTAAGTGTTCCAGTGTATTCATAAAGTTGTGAGAAAATTAAATAAACATTATTATTGAATGGGGACTAACCTGCACATTTATGGGTGAAAATGGAATGGCAACCTCGTCTGCGCTAACGGAATACGCTAGTGTAGTACCAGTGAAGGGTGATAGATGAGAATGAAAACAGGCCAGTTAGCCCATCATGATGAATTCATTAGGAATTATCCATGATAGTTTCCAGGGCGAACCGCGAGGTCGACCTGGTTGGGTATATTGCTAGCAATGCGATTCTTAGTCTCCATTACTAACAATCCCTTTCCCCCCTAACCTACCTATTAGTAACAATCCCTCCCTGGGGGAAAGGGATTGTTAGTAATGGGGTCTAATAGTTCTATTGCTAACCATATACTCTCTCAGGTCTGCCTCCACGCGGTTCCCCCTGGAAACCATCTTGGTTCATTCTTGTCGAATTTATCATGGTGGGCCAACTGACCTGCATTCATTCTCACCTATCATCTTCCACTGGTGTCCTGTCGGTTTATACCGATAGCGCGGGTGGGATTACCATTCCGTTTTTACCCATTAAAAAAAGCAATCCCTGCCTTCCCTTCACATTATTAAGGTTGTCGTATTATTAAAAAAAATCGCTACTCTATTATCTTGCACTAAATCAATACGTGAACTTTTCGTCTGTCTCGTTATTAAGACGACCTTTACTGAAGGTCGCCGTGTACGAAAACAGACGAATAAACTAAATATAAATCCTTTTATCATACTTACGTAAGTTTGTACGTAATAGTTCATTTACGGAAGCACGCGGTGCTCATTCATGCGATAAAATTAAGACGTATATATTGATATGTATATGTGAAGTTTTTATTTCATTATCTGTCACCAAGGAATAAAAATAATTGCGGTTATACTATATATACATACGTACATATCTGTCACGCTTGTAGCATTTCCAGAGGGTGACTTTGTACAAAAGTCGATTGCTGGGGTACCTCTCTCCCATTCGTGTTTCAACCGTGAAGCAGTTGTGTTTGCATGGCTGTGTTTTGGTTTGAAGGGTGGGATATGGCGTGAATTTACTGGGTACAGAGGAATAACACCTGAATCCTCAGGAATGGCAACGCATGGGGGGTATCGTGGGCGTAACAGTATACTCTGTTATGTCCATGGTACTGCTCATGTCTATAGGCGACGGTTACCACTTTCCATCAGGTGGGCCGTCAGCTTGTTTGTCATTTTAAGTTGTATAAAAAAAATGTAACAAATGTTTATTTTACTACCAATATGACCAATTTCAACACGTAAATATGCAATAACTATAATTAATATGTATGTGTTGAAATGACGAATGTAAGCATTACTCTTGTTCTTACACAAGAAAAATGATCTTAAATGCCGAAATATGCAAAGGCTTAAAGAATGTAATATTTTTTATTAATAACTGGCGATCTGGGCTATTGCTGTTTTTTTTATACCACTGAGGTGGCAAACAAGCATACGGCCCACCTGATGGTAAGTGGTTACCGTAGCCTATGAACACCTGCAATACCAGAGGTATTACGCGTGCGTTGCCGACCCTGAAGAAACCTCTTTATCCCCCTTTTGAAGAACCCCATGCTGTAGTCTCTTGGGAAAACCTCGGCAGAGAGCTCATTCCACAACATGAGTGTTCGTGGGAGGGAACATCTCTGAAACCGCACACTACGCGACGATTTAGGCTGTAAGGTATGAGGGTGAACTCCCTGTCAATGGCGAGCCGTACGATGGTAGAAAGTGGCTGTGGGCATCATATTGAAAAATTCCTTTGAGCACAATCCATTGTACAGGCGGTTCCAACATACAATGGGCCATCCTTTCATGTCCCGTGGGTGTCGTAAGAGGCGACTAAGGAAACTTAATGGTCGAGGCGCGAGTAGCGTCTGTCTTAAAACATTACCAAAGACTAACTGCGGTTGCCAATCTGTCTGCCAAGCGTGGCAACATACTGGCAAATGTTAAAGTGAGGCCTATGTTCAGCAGTGGACAGATATAATGATGGGCATGATGATGATCAGGCCTAGCTTCACACTGATGGAAAATAATAATAGCCTATCTTACTTGCTGAAAATGTTGCTTTCTATTTATTTGTGAAAGAATTTTTAAAGTCAATCGAGTAGCTTTTCATCTTGTCCATTACAAAATAGGGATTCATTATAAATGATGGATGTTAGGCGAGTATATATATATATATATATATATATATATATATATATATATATATATATATATATATATATATATATAGATAAATCATTCAGTCTATCATAATGGATTTACCAAAAACTAACCAAGCTTGCTAGCGCAATTAGTGGGGTCGCTCGTTCCCGTTCTAACAATTTTCCCCTACTTATCGAAGTTTTTTTTTTGATGGGTGAAAATGGTATGGTAACCCCGCTTGCGCTAACGGGATACGCTGGCGGAGCACCAGTGAAGGGTGATAGCTGAGAATGAAAACAGACCAGCTCGCCCATCATGTTGAATTCATCAGGAATTAACCATAATAGTTACCAGGGGGAATTGCGAGGAGGTCGACCTGGTTGGGTATATTGCTAGCAATGGGATTCTCAGTCTTCATTACTAACAATCCCTTTCCCCTCTACTTATCGAAGTTACCTCTGAACAGGTCGATATGATCTTCGCGTCGTTCATCCGCAACGGTGCAGCCCTACAGGAGATCCGCAGCATCCTCGGCGAGAAGGGGAAGAACATTCAAATCATCTCCAAGATTGAAAACCACCAAGGCATGGTCAACCTTGATGAAATTATTGCTGTAAGTACAACTGTTATGTATGGTATAAAATGAAACTTCTTGTATTTTATTTTAGTTTTTTTCTTAATTGTTATTAAGGAATTATTGAATAGAATAGTCCTTAACATTCCGAAATGGAATATTGAAAAAAAAAAAACAGAATTCATGATATATTCCATTCTAAAATATGATTCCATTTTTTTAATACAATTACTTATCTTCACTAAAATAATCCGACTTTCACTAATAGGATCAATTTATGGATTACAATGAATATATTAATTCAATTCTATGTACAATACATCAATAAATTAAAGTTAATATACTATTCCTTAAACACTATTACTAATTATAAGTAATCTCCCAATGCACCACACTGGGGCAGCGTACCCAAGATACTGGCAGCATTACCTCTTTGGATCTAATGAGATCTAATTACAACATTTAAATTTTGTTTCAAAATTGGCGAAGCATAATCGCATAATAAAAATACAGTTGAATTAAGACTTACTACTTTATTGAATCTAGTTAATACATGCCTTAAGAAATAATTAGTTACAGTGATACTTATTTTACTAATGAAACAAAATAATTAGTGTGTAATCAATATTATTTATATATATTTGGTTTTAATTTCAGGCCTCGGACGGCATTATGGTCGCCCGTGGTGATCTCGGTATCGAGATCCCACCAGAGAAGGTGTTTTTGGCTCAGAAAACTATGATTTCCCGCTGTAACAGGGTAAAAATTAAAAACAATAACTTCTTTTGTAAGACTGCGGGTATTAGACAACTGATAGACCTACGTATATTTTTTAATTTAATATATTTAGTTGCTTTCATTTCATCTAAACTGAAATAGAGCATTCAAATCTATTATCTAGTATTAAAAACTATTAGTTGCTTTACATTACTATGCAGGAATGACAATTAAGCTTCTATATTTACATGAAATTTTCAAAATTAACATTTATACATTTCTTTTCTCGACCATGGTAATGTTTAGAGGCCATGATTAGTAAGTACTTTTACACATCAGGTGGCGCGCTTGTATGCCATTTGAAGTCGTCATAAAAAAATGTAGAATGAAGATTTATGAACAAATAAACATTTCAGGTGGGCAAACCAGTCATCTGTGCAACTCAAATGTTGGAGTCTATGGTGAAGAAGCCTAGACCAACCCGCGCGGAGACCTCGGACGTTGCCAATGCCATTCTAGACGGAGCTGACTGTGTCATGTTGTCAGGGGAGACCGCCAAGGGAGATTATCCCCTTGAGTGTGTACTCACTATGGCCAACATCTGCAAGGAAGCTGAAGCCGCTATCTTCCATAAACAACTATTTACTGATCTCGTTAGTGAGGTAAGTGGACACAATTTTTTTTATATATCATAAGTGAAGGCGAGGTCAGGTCAGTCAGCCATAATGGTTTCCAAACAGGACTTGAATGGTAACTTGGTAGAGTTGCTAACAATTGAGGGTACTGTCTCAATTATTAAATGTATTACTTTAATTACTGAATTAAATATCGTCCCATTTTTTATGGGTTGAAAATTAAATGATATCTCCTATTCTATTTGTATACATTGATGGAATGTATTTAAGTATTACATATGGAATATAAATGTATTTATTTATTTAACTCTTTATTGCACCATAATTAAAAATATACAATGACATGTGAATAATTCAAGTGAAATACAGTAACATAAATACAGATTGAAATATACACATAAAGGTACAAAAGGAGGGCTTATCTCTAGGGCAATCTCTATCAGACATATATATATTAAAGAGAACAGATAGAAAGTGGGTGGCGCAAGAGTGAATTAATAATTTTTCGTGCATAAAATACAAAAACCTATAATTTATTTAAATAGATTTTTTTACAAGCTCTTCTAAATCATCCATTTCTGTTTTTACTAGGTGAAACGGCCCAGTGAACCAGCGCACTCTGTAGCCATCGCGGCCGTGGAGGCGTCCACTACGTGCCTCGCGGCCGCCATTGTGGTGATCACCACCAGTGGCCGCTCGGCGCATCTGCTCAGCAAGTACCGCCCGCGGTGCCCTATAATCGCCGTCACGCGGCAGGCGCAGACTGCGCGACAGGCACATATCTACCGTGGTGTACTGCCTATCGTCTATACAGGTACGGCCTGGCTGATGGCAAGTTGTGATGACCACAACATAGTTATATTGCATGTAACACATGTGCAATGTCAATATTTGTTACATATAGGATTTTTATTCCAGTGCCCAGTACTCGTCATACAGTCATATGCTGTATGACGAGGTATGATAAGGCGTATCTCATCATACAAATCGAAACCTATTAAATTGCTGGAAAATTTTCTTTTTCTGGAACTTACAAATGGTAAATAAAGCCAACCTTCTTATGGAAAATGGTAACCGTTACCTATATAAATAGTAGCATGGACATCACAGAATACAGTGTTTGTTCAATTCATGTACCAATTTTTTTAATTTACAACCTAATAATTTAAAATTTTAACAAAAAAAAATATTTTGATAAAATTGTATTTCGATACAAAATTAAATAAATATAAAAAATGGAAATATGTAAAATAACAATAAAATTGCAATTTCATTTGTCATAATTGACAGAACCGCCGGCGAGCGACTGGCTCAAGGATGTGGACAACCGCGTGCAGTACGGTCTGAAGTTCGGCCGCGCGCGCGGCTTCATTACAACCGGGGATAATGTTGTCGTCGTCACCGGCTGGAAGCAGGGCTCCGGCTTCACTAACACATTGCGCATCATGTTAGTATTAATAATATATCACTTGTAGCCGCCCATCCCTTATTAGGCTTTGCCTTATCTTGCAAACAGTGCAAATTAAACGATACTTATTATCAATCTTCATGCACATGATGTTTTGTATTAGCTAGAAATGATACGATCAATCGTCTGTGCTGCCTCTACAGGGCGATTTGAGAACTAAAATTACTATACCGAATTAGTTTTGTCTTTTGCCATTTGATCGCAAATGACGCTGTTAGGGAAATCTACCGTTATCCATCGGGTTCACCTGTTTTTGGTATTTCATAGTTGTTCACTATAAAATATTATGATTTCTTTATATTATGACACAACATCATAGATTACATAATTTTAAATGGAAAAAATTGATATTTTCCAAAAAGAATTTTCATTAGTTTTCAGTTTAGAATAATCGTTTATTATTCATTGTTTCAATTTTTGCTAACCTGTCCCATACACCTTGTATACTAAGATGTATAAATATGTCAGAATTATACAATAACATAATTTATATATTTTACAGTCAAGTGGAATAAGGTGTCGCTGCACAAATCAACTAACAAGATACAAATGTTTTAAGTATTATATTAGCGCCGAGAGGAGCGAGTGATATCTAATGAGATCTAGTGCACTTTGAATACACGTGTATAAATATAATTTAATGTATAAATGTTCTCAAATATTTATTTATATGAATAAATGATAATATTTTACCAAGATTATTGTATTGTTGCATATGTGTAACGCAATAATAAAATATTCTAAAAATATATGTGTTTATTTCACTTCTAATAATCTTGAGCTATTATTGAGAATACTGCAGAATTATATTAACAACAGATGTCGCTGTAAAGAATTTTTAGTTGCCTATGTCTATAAGGCAAAATGTAGACAAGCGGATTGCATAAAGAATACTATTTGATTTGAAATTACGTTTTCATAATACCTATTGGCAGAAACTAAATGCGAAACGAACTAAATACGGAAAGCTTGTTGTTTAGTACAATATTAATAAATAGTAAACAATATATTTATTGTTTTTAGTTTTAGTTAATTAAATATAATAAATATTAAGGAGCAACAAGACTTTCTTAATAGTAAATATATGTATCACAAAGAGGATAACCGCGCGATAAATATATAAATTTGCAGGGTTGAGGGTAGTACGGCGACCTGAATACCGTATTAAAACGCATGGCTTTCCCTCTGTCTTATATAGGTCTGCATGTATTGGTTATTAACACTGCTAGACTTGAATTCGATCTTGGAACATTAGAACCTAACGGTGAATGAATGAAAGAATTGTATAATTAAAATTATTATATCAACCGTTAACTGTCCATTGCTGGGGGGAAAGGGATTGTTAGTAATGGAGACTGAGAATCCTATTGCTAGAAATATACCCAACCAGGTCGACCTTATCGCGGTTCTCCCTGGAAACTATCATAGTTAATTCCTGATGAATTCATCATGATGGGCTAACTGGCCTGTTTTCATTCTCATCTATCACCCTTCACTGGTGCTCCGCCAGCGTATCCCGTTAGCGCAGGCGAGGTTACCATACCATATTCACCCATAAAAAAAAACTGTCCATTGCTGAACTTAGGTCTCTCCATAAGGAGGGGTTTGTTAGTAGTTGCCACGTTCAGCAGACGAGTGAATACCGCAGTTAGGCTTTGGTGATATTTTACGAGGGACGCTACTGCTTATTCATCGACTATTAAGTTGCCTTAGTTGTCTCTTACTACACCTATGGGAAAGTAAGGAGTGGCCCATTTTATGTCCGGACAAATGGCGGAATAGAGAGATACATGTAATTATTATAAGAAAAGACAGTTTCAACAGGATGTGAATAAATCTGGATTCCTTGAACTCGAGTCCAAAGACAATAATTCTTGAACTACATTTTTAATGGAATTCAATAACGCTTTAATGTGTTCTCAATTTAACTTCTTTGTGTCTATGTTCAGCGATCTCTTCGGTAATTGTGAACTGATTTATGATTATTATTATTAATTTATTAGTATTGGTAGCTGACTAATTTTGTAAACATTGAAGTGAATTTACAGATTTGTGGGAAGTTATGAAGTTTTAATGTACAGACACCAGAGGGAGACTTTGTACAAAAGTCGATTGTTTGAGTACCTCTGTCCCATTCGTGTTTCAACCGTGTAGCAGTTGCGTTTGCATGGCTGTGTTTCGGTTTGAAGGGTGAGATATGGCGTGAATTTACTGGGTACACAGTGAGGAATAACACCTGAGTCCTCAGGAATGGCAACGTATGGGTGGTATCATGGGCGAAACAGTATACTCTGTTATGTCCATGGTACTGCTCATGTCTATAGGCGACGGTTACCACTTTCCATCAGGTGGGCCGTCAGCTTGTTTGCCATTCTAAGTTGTATAATAAAAAAGATATGTTCCTGAATTAACACATAAATCTAATATTAACAATTCATGCGAACAAAGCCATGAGTAAATAAATATCATTGGACATATCATAGAACGTCAACTAGTTGTAACAGAAATTATAAACGACTGACAGATATTTTTCGTAAATACAATAGAATATCCGGTCCACAACAAACTTTAGAATATAAATATTTGTATTATACGGGAGTCGAACTTGCGACCTTATTGTTAGCAATATAGTTATCTGACAAAACCCCCACAAGGAGGAATCCTATGTTCAGCAGTGGACAGTTAATAGCTGATGTGATGATTATGACTATTTTATGAACCATGATGAACTAATTTTTTGGAGGAAAGGGATTGCTAGTAATAGGTTCTAACAGCCCCATTGCTAGCAATATACACTCGTGGAGATAGGGGCTCACGACAGGTCGACTTCCACATGATTCTGCCTGGAAACCATCATGGTTAATTCTTATCGAATTCTTTACGATGGGCCGACTGACCTACCTTCATCCTCACCTATCTACGATCACTGGTGCCCCGCCAGCGTATACCGATAGGGCAGGCGGTGTTATCATTCCATTTTCACCCATTAAAAATAAGGTAAATTTATAATGCACACTTTTACAATGTTGGAATGAAGATTTCGCTGTTGTATCAAAATGAAGTTTTAAATTTAGACGTAGATTCAAACACTTGGCTCCTCAAAATCGACTCTAACATGGCCTTTTTTAATATTAGCTTCAATGAAACATTTACTCCTGTGTTGGTTTCAAATCAATTCTCTCACTATTGTTTTTTTATTTTTTTTTTTGGGCACTAAGGGCGTTTTTAGCTCGCGGCCACCTATGTGATTCGGGGACAAGACACTACACTAGGTTAATGATTGTTTATTTCACGATCGTTTCCTTGACACGCCGTTTTCAACACGATGTCTGTGGTGCGATGTCGTTGCCCGTACCAATTTCAAGTCCATTGCAGCTGTGAAAACTATAGACGTAAACTTTTTATGAACCACAAGGCGGGCTTTAATGACACTGCGCGCTATTCACGATTGATTTAATATGAGGTAGTTTGCGAATGAAACTTATATTTTGAAATAAGCAAACGTAAAAAATACAGCCTTCAAAAAACGAGAAGGTTTTTAACCTTCTCGTTTTTTGAAGTCGGTTGCAAATACATTTGCTCACGACTATAATCCCAGATGGGACAGCCAGAAGAATTTGTTGATTGTCGCCGTGGCGGCGTGTATATCATTCAGCGTGCATGCTGTACACTTCGCTGAGCGTATTTTAATTCAACTAGATAATATCCGAGTGACTGCAAAAGATGAATATCCTTTTAAACTCTATCGAAGAAAGTCCTTAATCTATGTACCCTGTTAACACGACAGTCTGGTTGCCAATGAATTGCTGGCGACTTCAAATTGTTATTTGAATGTAAGTAATAGCATCTCAGTCGCTGGTTATCTAAGTCATAAGGATTCCGGTATTATACAGGATGAAGTACCACATGCCCTTATATCCTTCTAACATCTACCTTCATAAATATTTTACAGTTAATTTCTCTATCAATTACAAAATCTATGTTTCGATCAATTAACGAATTTATATTTACTCGATCCATTATATCTGGAAGAATGCCATAATGCGAACTTGTAGCGATCGACGATAATCGTCATAATACTGAGAACTGTAGCAGTGCTGGTCCTGCAGACCTGTTTGTGTGTCAAACTGATAGAGAACATAAAATTCATTTACTGTTGTTATTATTTATAAAAAAAAGACATTATATGTGTGAGAAATATTAATATAGACCTGGTGGCAATTTCTTTGTGTGTCAGCTCTGCCGCGCATTGTGTGCCAGCGGGGGAGAGCGTCGCGGGTCAGCCCCTGCCGCGGGCCAGCCAGTGTCGACACCCGCAACAATAACAAAGTGCCCGCATCGGCACCCCGACTTCGTCACTGGACTCAGTCGCAGCCCACCACGCCGGCGACTAAAAATAACCGCCCAACTCTCAGTACCGCCGCAACAGCCGCGCGCGTTGCCCGCTGCGCCCGCGATTCGCAACCATGGCGGAGACAATCGAGGAGACTTACGAGAGCGCGGTCACCCGCAAGGTGGTCCGCACCAGCCTCAAGATAGAGGAGGTGAGGATCGAACACGACAGTTTTATGTAACGCCGCCCGCGCGACACAAATATAGCCGCCGGCGCACGCCGCGACGCCAACGTCAGACGCACCTGCTCACATAACAGATAACATGTTTGACAGTGAACACGAGCGTAAACAGCATTATCCTGAACTGTCGCGGCCGCACCGCCGCGCATACGACACGGAAAACGCATCCGACCAGCGATCGTCGCTTGTCATTCACAAAACCGAATCCGTTCACACTTACGCTTTGTCTCACCGATGAGAGACAAAGTTACCGGACGTCGAATTATTCCGGGAATATGGCATTACGGTACACATTTTAGTGGTTCGGCTGTGTCATGGCACGCGAAGGTCCATCGGTTGCGAACCTACGTCAGTGGAGGAAGTGCGCGCGCTGTGCGCCACTTAACATACATAAATCGCGCCGATGTAAATAGATCGAGAGTTGAATGAAATTTTCCGTGCCCACCTTGATGTATGTGCATCGACCTATCCCGTGATCTCAACGTGCGGCCTTGCAAGACACACAAACACACAAGATATTCACAATGGACGCAAACATTCGACAATTAGGTACTTACTGAACATGACTAGTAATAAAAAAAAATAGTAGACATATACATAATGTAGTGGATTTATTAATTCAAGTAATCATTAGGGAAACGAGCAGCATCTTGTTACTATTACACACGCTGTATAATGCAGCATTTAGAGCGTGACTTGCACAGTACTCGCTAAATGCACAATGTGCGAGGGACCTTTGGAGTCATTTTATCGCGTACCATCAGCGTACAACAATGATTGTCCGCCACGACTACTGTCCGTTTCCAAAGCGCACGAATCCAATGGAAAAACGCGCTGTAGCATATTTTCGTCTTGGCTCCCATCCTAGTTTATCTGCTACATTACGATGTTTATTCACAATACGAATGTGAACATTAATGCGTGCGCTGCAACACTTACAGTTAGTTAGTTTTGGTGAAAAATCATAAATAATTATTAATGATAATATGTACCTACTTACATGACTATTGACTAGTTATGTGAACGGTTCTAGTTATGTGAAACGATCTAAGTAGTGCTTTCAATATATCTGGCTATCGTTCAAACCGCATGACTAGCTAAAATATGTGAGAAAAAACATAATATCCGTTATTCTGACGTTTGCTATGAATTCCAAATCTAAACTTCTACATATT